ACCAGCAAACACCTTTCTAAACTTTCCACGTATATCTGAGTATATGACTGAATTTTAATGCAATGTCTCACAGATTTTATATCAGAAGATGGCTATTTAGGGATAAAATATGACCAAAATATTTGGAACGCCTCAGTTCTCCAAAGTGAAAGTAATTATTTTTTGGTCTATAGAGTGCTAACTCTTCCTACTCCAAAACAGACCAGGGCCAAGAGACTGTATTAAATATTGCAAGAAACAGTGCAATGAAAACGGTTCTTCTAATGCCTGGTGACATCTCCCTCTGCTGCGTGATGGCAGTAGGTAGGCTGCAAACGAAGTTTGATGCACCTGATGTTTTTAAACAATCAGTCACCACAGCTGCTGGTTCCTGCTGAGTATCCACAATCTCTAATGGGACCTCAGTTTCTTCTCTCTCTGAACAGCTGATACAAATTCTTTTAGAACTACCTTTATTTTTCAAAGATCATTTTATTTGGGGGGAGGAGGGTGTATAGCAGGACATCTGTCTTGTTAGAAACACAGTCCCACAGTATCTTTAGGGATGCTTTCACTGATGGATAAGAAATGATAAGAATTAGTTTTTTTTTTTTGATTTTTGGGTCACACCTGGCAATGCTCAGGGGTTGCTCCTGGCTCTGCACTCAGGAATTACTCCTGGCAGTGCTTGGGGGACCATATGGGATGCTGGGAATTGAACCCCAGTCCTCCGCGTGCAAGGCAAATGCCCTACCCGCTGTGCTATTGCTCCAGCCCCAAGAACTAGTATTTTTAAAGCTGGTTGCAAACTTTAGGGTCCAGTGAAATCCTTTCAAAAGTCACAGGAAGTTGTCCACTAGGAGCCACTCCTTTGCTCCTGGAGGTACTTACAGATGCTAAATTCCATGAATATCTCTAAAAGGGGTCTTCCCACTAACAGCTATTTTAGAGTGAAACTTAATGAACCGAGTTATTGCTTACTGTAAAACACCTAGCAGTTTTTATTTATTGCATAGCAGAGTGTATAACTAGTGTAATACAGATAATGTAGTAAAGGCAGTATTTTGAAAGGAAGGCATACAACTTATCTATATAACCAATAACATCATATATCTATATCTGTGTATATCTATACTTTAGCAAATTTCTTTAGTAAGATTGTTACTATTAATAGTAAAGTAAAAGATTTCCTCTTTCTTGATGCTGACTACAGTGTTGTCTAAAATACAAATTTTCAAATAACTGTTAAACATTTCTCCGCAAGGGAAATGTTTCACAGTTGTTTTGGATTGCCAAGAGTAGCGGCGTAGAAACGAAAAGGCTGTTCCTTGGAAGTAGCGTGACCTCATTGCGCATGTGCAGACTCAGGACAACTATCTCGGCATGGGGTGAGTTGAGAAGGTAGCAATTGCTTTCTTTTACTTCTATCCCACAGTGAAACTTAACAATTTCTTTAGAAGGAAAATTTGAAAAATAAGTATCAGTGTAAATAAAACTCAAGTTCTTTTCTTGCCCTGCTGTTAACTTGCAGTTCTATGTATCTGTACCCATTTGCTTTCCTTTCTGAATTTAGAATCTGTAAATGCTATGCAGCATGATAATACCCATATGCCTAGGGCCTCACTGGGCAACTGGAGAATTGATGTTAAATTACAATAAATTCGTAATTTGTGTGAATTTGGGTTGGGTTCCCTTCAATGTAGAAAGGTTGGTGGCAGTTCAGCCCTTTGTTTTTTATGATGCCAGGGCCAAACCCAGGGCTTCACACACAAAGAATAGGTGCTGTACCATCAAGCTCGATGCAGGGCCCTTCTGGCGCAGTGGCCTTACCATCTGACTGTGTTCCCAGCACTCAGGCTGAAGCCAAGTCTCTGTGACCAATAAAGAACCTTGAATGCCATTCACTGTCACACAGACAGGTGCCAGTCAGAACTGCAGTCATACCTTTGAACCCAAATAGGGATTTTCTGTGTTGAACCTGATTGCATTAATGCTTGTGGAGTAGGGATCAAACTCAGGGCCTCACGCATACCAGCCATGCACTGTATCCCAGAGCCACATCCCAGCCCCATGACTAAATTTGCTCTAAAGCCGATATGATTTTCCACCCTGTTGGCTTACCATATTCCTCCCCTTTTCTGAGACATTTACTCTGAAGCATTTTGATCAAAGAGCAAGTTAGTATATTTTTATACTAATAGAAGACTGCTAGCCAGTCTGCATTTTCCATTTAAACTGATTATTTTCCTTTTCTTAGTCTCATGTTGCCTAAAGAATCAGAACAGCCAAATCTGCGATAAATTTATGATGAGAGAAAATAATACATACAGTCTCACTGAATCCATGACTATTAACCTGAAGACCTGGTTAAAGTAATAGATTCTTGGGGCTAGAGGGATAGTACAGCAGGCAGGCTGCTGGTCTTGCGTGTAGCTGACCGGGGCTAGATCCCTGGCATCCTATGGTCCCCTGACTGCTGTGAGGAGCAATTTCTGAGTTCAGACTCAGAAGTAACAGCTGAGCACTGCTGGTGTGCCCTCTGCCACTCCCCCCAGCAGAAAAAAAGATAGATTCTTTAGGAAATCTTGTACCAAACAAGCAAGACAGGTTTCAAAGACACTGTTAGTGAGGGTAAGCTATCTGGGGCTTGTGCTGAAGACTGCAATTATTTTGCATTTGCTTCTACAAACAAAACCATTCTATAGAAGGTACTTATCAGCCCACGTCTGCATGGCTTGCCTCTTTTGAAACAAAAGACCCCAGATGAATAAATTAAATTTCAGGAACCTCCTGCTGAACCCTGTAGAGGCTGAGGACTGAGCAATCTGGGGGATAGGGTAAGGTGAATATTGGTCAGCCTTCAGGGCCTTTGCAATGTTCTCAGAGATGGACCAAATGACTGGTTTTGGCATGCAGGGGCCAGCATGCTCAGGAAATTGTGGCATGCAGAAAACAAAGCGCATAAACAAACTCTCCTTCCAGGAAGCTGAGTTTGACAACTGCCTCATTAACAAGATCCAGGGAAGGACAGGAAAGGAGGGGGAAGCCAAGAGCTGATTTTTATCCAGTTCTGGACAGATGAGGCCCTTCAGTTTCTCCCAAACAATCCGTGTAGTGTGGATTTGACAAAGTGGCACATTTAAGCGGGAACTCTCTTGCCATCAATGGAAGTCAGGCGCACCCGCCTCAGAGGCCAAATCCAGTCCCTGGAACTTGACTTTATCAGTACACACAAGACAGAGGCCAAGGCAGCTACATCCACAGAGAATTAATTAAGAACAAAACTAGCATCCAGTGAATGCAATCAATAGTCTGAACACTGATCCACATACCAACTACCTTTGCTGCCTCCTCTTCCTAGAAATGTCTTATAAGTATTTTATACTAAAGTGCTCTATAAATATGACTTTATTAGAGATTTATTTGCTGCTTGCTTCATTGAAACTATATTTCTCATACTGCCTCATACAAAATGATACAAACAACCTAGTGCCAGTTGCAGTTTTAATGGGCGAGATCTTTTTATGAGCAGAATTTTACCAAGCGTAATTGATTAGTTTGACTTTCTCCTTACACATTTCTTTAATTTCTTATGGGAGAAAATAAACATGACTTTATTTAATAATTGTTGAAGTCCACACCCAAGCTGTCCTCACTGGATAGCTTCATTTGATCTCCTTTGAAAATTGTTCCTTTTGAACATACCACGTACCTCCCTCACTCTTACAGTGTGGTTTGCAAACATAAATGACCTGATGCTGACTTAATACTACCTCTCCAGGATTATTATTGGGTTTTTATTGCTGTTTCCGCCTCCCCCTTAACCCTCCTACCCACACACATCCCAAAGCACACTGGAATTCCTTTTTTAAAACCAATGGGGGTGGGGATCATTATTTTCATCTTGCTTTAATTCCTGTTGGAAAAATATATAGGACTCATTACCTTCGTTTTTCAAAATCTTACCAGACACACCATTTCTCAATACCAGGTTCTTGGTTAAGTCTTGGTTCTTGGTTAAGTAAATACTGATTTCTTTCTTCTTCAGTCTATGCTCTGTCTGAATGTCTCCTGTGTGGCGGGACCCTGGGAGATCTGTCAGGGTTCACTCTTGACTTGGAATTGCTCTTAGCCCCAGCCAACCCATGGCAGCCTTTACTGCTTAAGGAAAATGGGGAATTCTGCCTTCTGGACACAAACATGTGAATTCTCTATGTCCAGGACCAAAAAGGTGAAAATGGCAGCTTTTAACCAACATTTCTTCAATAACAGAAGATTCATATTCAGCACAGGAGGATTATTATTCACATATGCAATTGCTTTGCTCATGAATCCTATTCAAGGATCCATGGGCAAACAATTTTGGACTATGTGAGTCTGCTTTTACAGATCTTACTTACACCACACTCCTTTTGAAACAGGTGAGAGTGTGATTGAGCAAGCACCGTAAACTCAGAGTTCAGCGTCCTTCTTATCACAACTGTCCTTGTAAGTAGATGTGATTTCAAAGTTAGCACCAGCACAACCTCAAGTTAGTCTAAAATAAAATAATGCCATAATAAGTGAATTGTTGAAATGGGGGAAAAGGTTGCTTAGAGGAGTTTGATTTCTTCTCACTCTTAAGCAGTAGGCATAATAATAATAATAATAATAATAATAATAATAATAATAATAAGTTGAATTATTGTCAACATAATAAAAGTGCAGATTTTAGTGGCCCCCCACCCCAAAGTGGAATATAGAAATATATGCCACCCGAGTTTTAGGCCCACTGGAAGCAGCTAGTGTTCAACCAGTTTGGTTTTTATATGGCCTTAAAAGATATATGTCAAGTAGGATTAATCGTTTTAAAATTGAAAAAAAATTACCTGATTGTTGACCCAAAAAATATGAAATGGAGAAAAGAAAACAAACAAACATACCATGTTCACACACACAAATCAAAAGAATTCTCTCAGGGCCATCAGGGAAGGTGGAATACTATAACAACATGTGTTCTAGTGTTATACTATTCCACCCACCTTAATGAAGACCCCTTGGGCGTTGCTACTCCATAGCCTTTCGAATCCAGATTGCCTCCCACTTTCATCGTGTCACAGGGCTTTCGCTGCTCAATGTATTCATTCATAGTGGACTCCAGCAGAAAGGCGAATTTGCCCTTGGATTTGCGGACACGAGCTACTCCCTCAGCTGTAGTCCTAGTGAACACTGACGGCTCTGCCGATCGCATGTAGGTCCACATCTTTTCATACACTGCTATTTTTGATCTCTGGAGGAAATCAAAATAAAATTAAATACAGGAAAGAAGAGAACAACATGTTAATATTGACTAAGCCAAGAGAAAGTCTTTCAGAACCCCTACATTGTCCTCTCACCCCATTTTCCCTTCTAACACTCTCTTCCAGTTAGAAAACTGCTGTTTCACACGATTTCAGGAAGTCATTGAGATTACAAATCTTTAAAAGTGACACCCATTGTCATAATGATCCTCCTTGAATCAACTACTTAAAAAAAACCCATACTTTTCACTGTACACTGTTACAAAAAGGGTTAAACACATAAAATCATCTTTTAGATCGTGTGCTGAGTAAACTTGAATAGATAAGACTTAATTTTAGTTTTGTGAAATTCCTTTGGATAATGAGATTGAATTATACAAATACAGAATTGTAATGTTATTTGATTTTTTAATTTTTTTCCATGCTCAAACAAAGAAGGAGAATAAGTCAAAGTAGTTTATGAACTGAATGTCCACAGCACAAGAATCAAACTCCTAGTTCAACCAAAATATTTTAGATAAATTATACAAATAATATCCAACATACATTCAATTGAAGAAAAAAGAGTGTTGTTTTTTCATTTTGTGTTTTAAGGAGTTAGTCATTCTAATCTCCAGATCCCAGATTATATATATCTTTTGTTTCTTTGGGCTTTAACTGCATTATTCTCAGTATTTTTTCCCCCCTAGCATCTATATTCACACTGGGGTTTTTCTATTCTCACATATATTTTTTAAAGTGAAAAAATATTGCAATTAATTTAAATGTTCCCCCCAAAACTATTTAATAGAGTAGAAAAATATGCATTCTGTTTAATGTTTGATAATATAAATGACAGACTTTAATGTGGTATCACTGAAGTTGTTCAATAATGAGATTCTGAGAATTTGCATCTGAATCCAAAGAAACAGTAACGGGTAATTCGTTTACACTATAACTGTTCTTGAGATTAGTCCTGGATAACATGTGCATTTATTCACATTGGTCATCTTTTGCTAATCAGAATATAGACTCAACCAAAAGCAACATTTTCAATAACCAGCGATATCCTGACTAGCAATTTTTAGGAATACATGTTTTGGGTCAGAACTAATTGTTTAGAACAAATAAAGGAATTAATAAAATTAGCATCACAATTTTTTGTTTCATGGGATAAGAAAATTAGCAGTTGATAAACCTGTAATATGGATCATACAGTGAGAGAATAAGATATAAGATGTTTCATGTTAGTATGGGCTGGAGCGATAGCACAGTGGGTAGGGTGTTTGCCTTGCAAGCGGCCAACATGGCCGACCCGAGTTCGATTCCTCCACCCCACACAGTACAGCCTGGCAAGCTCCCCGTCACGTATTCGATATGACAAACACAGTAATAACAGGTCTCATGATGGAGATCTTACTGGGCCCGCTCGAGAAAATCGACGAAGAACGGAGGAGAGTGACAGTGACATGTTAGTATATAGCACTGTAGTACTGTCCTGTTGTTCATCGATTTGCTCCAGTGGACACCAGCTACTGAGAGTATCTCGCCCGCAGGGCAAAGCCTGGCAAGCTTCCCGTGACGTATTTGATATGCCAAAAACAGTAACAAGTCTCACAATTTGCTGTGAGATGTTACTGGTTAGTATATATTCAAATGGTGATAAAAGTCAGGATGCGAAATACACATCCTAAAGTGCTTTCTGAGATATTTTTATGCTATCAACACTTGGAAAAACATTCCATGATACAGAGACTATGATATGTTTGTTTCGGTTCTCATAGATTACTTTGGCTATACCAATGAGTATGTTATTCCATGATAACGCTAGAGTTAAACTGTGAAGATTCTAAATGCTTCTAAGATAGAGGAGGGTCTCGATTTACAGACCCCAAACCTGGGCACACAAAGGGGTTGTGTTGCCAGTTCTCACGCCTTCCACCTGTCAGTAATGAGCACTGTGCCAGAGAACTTACTTCCTATTTTACAAGAATCCCAACCTCTAACATGTGTAAGTCCTCTGGATCCTCTGTTAAAGATTGTTCTTAAATATCTATTCTGATAATTTCAATTTAGAGACACACTGGTAAACAACATCCATTTGACATATATTATAAATGAATATTATTAGTATTACTTTAATTGGAATAAACAATTGTAAGTTAGAGAGTTACGCTAAGTTGAATAACAATTTTACAGGACCAGTCGATGTATTATTAAAGAAACAGGGAAGATCTAAATATTTAACAAAATGGAAAACTGCTTTTAGGTCTTAGTATTTATGAAGGTAAATTAATTATAGAATGTAACATAATTTTAAAGCAAATGATTTGCTTTTAAGAGAATAAAATGTCTTCAGGCTGTTCATATTTTATAGAAGCACATTCCTCTACTAGTAATGCAAGAAAAATTAGTGCTGCGTTTGTTTAAACATATTTACTAACATCTACTTTAACTACAAAGAAAGTAGAATAAATCTGTCAAAAATTCAGAAGAGAGAGGAATCAGCCTACTAATGCTAGATTTAGCTGGCTTTGTGTTTAATGTTAAATTCAGAAGTAGAGTGGAATGAGAAAAAAATGAAAGCAAATTTTTGGAAGATTTTTTAAAATAGTTTTCTGCCATGTAACATTTAGAAAATCTGACTCTGTTTTAAGGGGAATATGACTTACATATGTTCCTGGCAACAGTGTAGAAGGTAGGGAGGGACTCAAGGTGAAAGTTGCAAGTAACATCACTGTATCTGACCTGTGACAGCAAGAGAGTTTTCTGCCAACATATGAGGGGAAGCAAATCTTCTAACTTTCATGAGACAGGCTGAAATGAGAAATTGCTGCAGTCCCCGAATGTTTATACATATAATGATAATGGCATTTCTGAGTGCCTACAGTCTTCAACTGTGCTATTTACTTAAAAAAATTCAGGTTTTGGGAATAAATTTGGAAATAAGAAAAGGTAATAAAATGTAACTTTCTAAATTAGAGAACTCATCTCAGATTTCATTTCAACTTCATCAAACTCAATGCATGGGGAAGTACTTTAAAGCTCTAGTATTTAAAATAATTCTTAGAGTTTTAAATATAAACTGCCCACTTCACATCACACAGTTCCATAAATTCTGCTTTTAATAAACAATATATACAAATGTCATGCATTCTAGTTAGTATCTGCACTGGGATCAGGTGAATTGTCTCCCTCTTCTAGTGGTTTATGCAGCAAAATTAATGTTCTTTAAGGAGCTTATCCTTATCATCCCATATGGGATGCTGGGAATCAATGTGTTATTTGATAACATAAACTCTAAGGTAACTATCCATCTCTTCATGCATTCATGATTTCACTGATGACTGAAAATGGCACAGGATAAAGCCTTCACGAAAATAAGAATGTTTGTTTAAACCAGGTATATAGTAATAAAAAGTACTTGAGCAAGATTGTTGCTAAGTGAGAAGTACAGAGCCTCTATGTTTATGCTTAGTGAGGTGCCTAGAATAGTAACATAGCCAGGTTTCATTATGGGGGGAAAAAAACCAAAGCAATAGTTGAATTCAGATGTAGTTTTCCCACATGGCCTAATTTTCTTTCCGGTTGATTATAACTGCTACATTTTGTTCTGAATTTTGTACAGGTCAATGCCTCAGGCAGTTTAGTGGAGCTGATAGATGTACCTTTACTGTGTTCCAGGGAGAAAACATTTTTGACAAGTACAAAAATATACTTCGCATTGTGTTTCTTCAACCTGTCAGGCAAATGGTTTATTTAAACCAGGTCATCTTCTATGGGAGAGGAGGGAAAATGCAGGGGACGCAATGAATGAGATTTTTATCAAGGTGTGCTGCTAGGGAAAATTATTTCCTCGCTCCATTAGGATTTAGACTGTTCTGTAACAATAAATACCAATATTTATAAAAATCTTTCTATGTTAGGGCTGAACTGGGGTGGAGAGAAACAAGGACAGACTCGTATAGCTTGTACAGAAGGTTCTATAAATCTAGAAAGCAGCTTTCGTTAATCCTATATTTCTTATCAGTATGTTCTCTTATCTCTCTCCCCAGTTCTTAGAACTGGAACACATAAAAAAATTCTATAAAGATTAGAAATAAAACATTTCCAATGTGCTCGATGCCAAAGAGCATTAGAGTGAGTCATTTTTGAAAAGTTTCAGGGAATCAAAATTCCCCCCCACCCCCCCCAATCCCTCGCCCTTTGTCACTGAAGGTAAAATGAGGAACCTGCAAATGTCTGTTTCTTGTACATGGAAATTCAGTCTTTGTTTTAAAGTAAAATGCAAATGACAACGTTGATTTGTATTCTATTTTTTTTTTTTTGCTTTTTGGGTCACACCTGGCAATGCACAGGGGTTATTCCTGGCTCTGTGCTCAGGAATTACCCCCGGAGGTGCTCAGGGGTCCATATGGGATGCTGGGAATCGAACTCGGGTTGGCCGTGTGCAAGGCAAACGCCCTACCCGCTGTGCTATTGCTCTAGCCCCCGATTCGTATTCTATTTTGATTTCTATACATAATGGTTTCTAGGCAAAGTTACTAAATTTTACTGACTTACCTTTGGGTAGAAGTGATTAAAAACATCTCCAGAAGGGACTGGAATTAAACTAAAATGTGTTTTGTTTCTATTATTAAACTTTGGAGACTGGGATGCACTTGCAAAGTTAAGACATTCATTAGTTACAGTTTACCAAGAGACTACTGCTAATAAAATATATTGTGTTGACTCTTCTTTGCAATTTTAGAAAGCTGTGTCATGTAATTATAGCTTTATTATTAACTTGTGTATTTTGCATTGTATGTGCTAGAAATGCTCCAAGTTGTTGACAAGGACAGGGTTCAGAGTTTGATTTCTTTTTCAAACAACGTACAGTGATAGGCTTGACTGTTTTTTAGTGATCTGCTCCTGATTTAGGATTATGTTAACATCTGTAAATTATAAGGATACTGTAATAAATGCAGTATTGTTTTTAAGGAGAAATAACTTACTGAAATTCAAGTGTTAAAATTAAGGATGGTTTAAAAATATAACATTATGTTGTTTCAAAATTTCCAAACCAAGTGAGAAATCTTTCCATAGATACATTTAAGATGAAAATGTAATCTCTCAAAAATTATACATACCCATAGGATTTACTTTTTGTTTGTTTTGGGTCCCATCCAGCAGTAGTCCTGGCTCTGTCTTGATGGGGCTTGTGGTACCATATGAGGTGCCAGGGATGGAACTAGGTCAGCTCTGTACAAAGCAAGTGTCCTGTCCACTGCACCATCGCTCCTGCCTCGTAAAATTTACTTTTAAGGGCTCTCAATATTTTTACACAAAATTTGCTAAGTGAGGTATATATTGTCTTCTAAATGATTAAGTATTTAGTTTTAAAGAAATTAACATTAAATATAAAAGATCTCTTTATTACTTAGTTAAATATTTGTGAAAATGCCATTCTTACTGCTTTGTTTTTTTCCCAGTTGGGTCTCAGCTGAGAGTCTTCAGGATTTACACCTGGTACACCTGGCCCTATGTTCAGGGATCACTCCTGGCAAAGCTCAGACTGTATGGGGTGATGAGGCTCGAACCTGGGTGAGTTGCATGAAAGGCAAGCACCTCACCTGCCGCACTGCCTGTTCAGTCTCCATTTTTACTGTGTTTTAACTTGTTTCTGAAATCATAAGATAAATCCTATCTCTGATCGAACTTTACCAAGTGTTTATCTCCACATTTGAGTAGAACCAGAATAAAAGAACATTTGCTGATTAAGAAAAATAATCTGTATAATGAAACAAACAACAACAAAAAATACAAACTATCTACCATTTTGTTTAAATCAAACGGAATCTTCCTTCTATGTGGGATGTCGTTATAACAGGTGGACAATTTCCTTTCTCTGCAAAAGCAGAGAAAGAGGCACAAAGGAAACACTAATAGTGATTTACAAAGGTTTCTTGAACTAAATACTTCTGGGAGAAGGCAAATATGCTTCTTTGAAATTCATTATTTCAGAATAGATTGCGAGATGATATACAGCACAAGGGGAAGATAAATCACAATTAAGTCCTGGGTTTCAAATGCACCGCATTAAATGTATTCTTTTGTTTCTGTTTTTATTAAAGACTTGCTTTCATTTTGATGTGAGCTCCTAAGTATACATGAATATGATCTGCCCAGTTACCGTATCATTGTAGCATCATCAACACAGGAGTCTTCTGGATGAATTTTATCATGAAGTTGTGCATCCTGCCTTTTGGTTACTCATTTTCCTCAGGGGAGGCCCCTTTTACAACTTGGTTGAATCAATTAGCTTTGAAAACCAAAGTGATCATTAAATCTAAGTAGCAATATTAGCATTAAACGAAACAGTTACCACTGTCTTTATAGAACCTACAGAAACTAGAGCCTATTAATTATTGACAAGATTACTTAAATGTTAAGATTCTGAATGGCTAACATTCAGTTTTCACCCTTAACTTACTCTGAAGAATTCTTTTGTTGACCCCGAGTCCAGTGTTCCATAGGCAATTTCAGTCTGCTTAGCCAGGTCTTCCGCACTTTCTATGGGAGAGACCATTCTCTCGACCGTGAGAAAAGCAGCGAGGTTGGCAGTATAAGAGGAGATGATGATAAGTGTGAAGAACCACCAAACACCTCCAACAATACGACCTGAGAGGGATCTAAAGGCGAAGATAATGCATATTTTCATTTCTCTAAACCCATACAGAGAAAGAAATGAAGCACCATCAATTCACCATGTTTAAAAAAATAATTGCAAGTTTTCTTTTATTATCTGTTAATCAACTCAAGAATTACCAGTATTTCTTTATAACTTGACATCTTTTATGCTTACGTTCAATGTATAAATGGCACTGGGAATATGGGGGAATTTGATATTGTTTTATTGGCAGAAATGTGAGATACAATTCTTTTCCTTACACAAATCCGTCGATAACCCACCCCTCTTATATGCTAGCATCTCTGTAGTTGGGATGCAAGTCAGGATTGATAAGGTAGTATCATATCAAGTATTATGGTTAAATTGGGAGCACTATTTTTCTCTTGGTAATACGTGAGAATTTCTTATCAATGGTGACCTTAGATTTGATACAAATTGCTAGGTGTCTTCCTGAAAACACTTGTTTCTACCTTCAGTCAGATGAAGAGAGCCTATACTTCATAGTGTGCTGGACCAGATGAGGGTCAAGAATTGATCTGACAGTTCTCCACCACCACTGAAGAATTGATCTGACAGTTCTCCACCACCACTGATCCTTCCCACCCCTTAACCCCCGTCCCACCCTGCCTCTGTGGCAGGGCACTGGTGGAGGGATGGGTACTCGATCATTGTATAACTGGAACCCAAGCACAAAAATTTGTAAGTCTACAATTGTACCTCATGGTATTTTACTAATAAATATTTTAAAAAAATAAATAAATTAAAAAAGAATTTTAAAAATATTTTAAAAGAAGAATTGATCTGACAGCGATCACAGCAGAGGCAGTTTTTGCTCGCTAGTCCATTTTTGATCTCATTAGAGAATCATCTCTTAGAGCATCTTTACATACTGGCATACAAATGTACTCTTTTCATCATTTGACTATCGAGGGTGTGTGGATGGATATGAATTCAGAGAAAAAGTACAATAGGATATAAAAGAATTCAGGGCATATTCATAATTAGTTGAGGTCATCAGATTATCAAGAGTTCTTTTGAAAAATTGTTTTAAACCATTTTTTCGTATGAAGGGAACTTTCATATTTTCCATGGCATTTATAGCTATGGAAATGCTCCTGTCTTAACCATTATCACAAAGATGCACCAGTTGGTTTTGACTTAATATTTGCTTAAACTTCATTTTAAAAATTGTTAACTTGATTTTCTTTGGTTTTCCTTAGTCTCATTAATTAAAAGTTTTTGATTAAGAAACATGTATTAGTAGGATATAACTACAGTTTCCTAGTTCTTAATGACCACAAATTAGATTATGACCAAAATTTCTCTTATAAAGTTCATATATATCTTTAAAAATTTCCAGGTATTTTGGTACAATTAATTTTGGTATACAGTAATAACAAGTCTCACAATGTTACTGGGCCCACTTGAGCAATTTGATGAACAACGAGAGGACAGTGACAGTGACAGTGATAATTAATAAACAATTATTAAAATACTATTACTCCTATTTTTAGCTACTTTTTCTATGTAATCAATTTGGTATTTTTTTGGAAACAGATGATTGGTTACTTTTTGGGGGAGATATAACTAAATAATGTCTCAATTTCATAAAAGAGAGAGAGAGAGAGAGAGAGAGAGAGAGAGAGAAAGGGGCAAGAAGAAAGAGGGGAGAGAGAACAGAGAGAGGGAGGAGAGCCCTGGGTTTGATCCATGGCATCATATATGATTCCCTGAGCACAGACCCAGAATTAAGCTCTGAGCACAGTTGGGTGCTTGCCAACATTAAACAAACACAAAAATGAAAGAAAAGAAGTGAACCATGACTTTAGAGACACTGAAAAACATCTCTGTAAAACTGACATTTTGTTTTTACACTGCTAATATTTGCCTACATCTTAGTTTATATATTGTTATATAAAACAATTAAATCCAGTACCTACTATCCTGACAGGGTATAGACAACTCCAAGGCAAATAATATCCTTTAAGCTGCCTGATATGTAAGTTAAAAGGGCTGGGCCGAGAGCATAGCGGTAGGGCATTTGCTTTGCACGCGGGAGGCGTGGCATTCCTTCGCTCCTCTGGGAGAGCCCTGCAAGCTACCAAGAGTATCTCGCCCACACGGCAAAGCCTGGCAAGCTACCCGTGAAGTATTCAATATGCCAAACACAGTAACGTATCCAATATGCCAAACACAGTAACGTATTCAATATGCCAAACGTAGTAACAAGTCACACAATGGAGACGTTACTGGGCCCACTCGAGCAAATTGAAGAACAACGGGAGGACAGTGACAGTGACAGTGATATGTAAGTTAAACTCTTAATTCTTTTTGTTTTTGTCCACAGTTGGTGATGCTCAGGGCTCACTTCTGGCACTGTATCCAGGATCGCTTCTGGTTATTCTCAGGGGACCATCTACTGTGCTGGGATTGAATCGGGATTGATTGTGTTCCAGGAAAGCATCCAAAACATGTATCATCTCTCTGAGCCCCCAAACAAACTTTCAAAATAAAATTTCAAAATTTCGAAAACAAAATACCTCAACAATAGCTTTTGATTTTGAAAAAAAAGACAAAAATTAAAGGATATTCACATATACATATTGCTTCTTAGATACTAGTTTCAAGCTGTCAAATCACTGATAAAATATTTATAGTAAGTAATTTTTTAGAGTTCTGAGGGGTTGCATATGTTACTTTTCTAATATAAACATTAACCTTTACGAGAACCCATATTAAGTTGGAAAAGTTAATTATGTATGTTTTTAGATTAACTTTGGAAATAAAAGTTTTCCCCTATGTTTTAGGAAATACTCTGCTTTCAGGAAAACAGCCTGCAGGATTTGTTCTGCATAACACTTAAATTTTCTGGGTAATCGCCAAAGACTTAAGAGTCTTCTGACTAACCTGGGTGAAATGTCACATCCTTGTTGCATAAAAGCGCCCAGGGAGAACCAGAGGCTGTTAAAGATGCCAAATTCATTTGGAGGTTGGTCACTGGGTCCTTCCTTTCCATCTTCCGGCTCCTCCGTGTGCCACTCATAAGGACTGAACCTACTAACCAGGAACAAGACTACGCTGACACCGATGTAGGCAAAGACAATGCACATCCAAATCTCATAGGCCAGAGGGTCCAAGAAGGAAAACACTCCTGGTTTAGATTTCTGAGGCTTTTTGATCATGATAGATATGCCCAGACTCATGAAGGGTTTAGAGAAGTCAATGACTTCCTCTCGAACCAACGTGATCGTCAGAGGGGCAATGGCGATCTCTGCTTTCTGTAATAGAAAAGACACATGGAAACACATGGGTTAGTAGATTTTATGAAGCAGTTAACACTGGATCAACTCACTTTGAAAGCTAACTTGTTAAATGACTTATTCTATGTTTATACTCTTTACTTTTGGAATGTCAACAATGAATTAGAATAAGGTCAATGATAAATACAAAGATAAACAGCAGATTTGTTTCCATAAGACATCACTTACATTGCACAAAATATTTTTATTGATACTCATAGATAGGAGGAAGAGAAACAGAAAGAGAAGATAAAAGTAAAAATAACTGAAACTCAAATAAGTGTATTTGTTCTTAATGACCGAGAACTGTACAGAAAAGACAATAGTTTTTCTGTAAGGCTGAATTTCTGAATTTCTTGGCTTTCTGTTCTAGGCAGCCTTTTCTGTTTCATTTGGAATGTTGCCACTGATTCATTACTTGGACATCTCTTAATATTATGGATTTCAAATTTCAAATAGTTTTTTCCTTTTGTATTCCTTTCCAGTTATGAGAAAATCTACCACAGAGCCCACATTTGTAAGAGAAGAAACCCATTATTTGACAACATTTTCCAATTCAGTGCACACACAAAAATCTGGAAATTGGTAATTATTTCTTCTTATTCACACACTTTGATTTTTCCATTTTCATTCTGAGAAGGATTTTTGGAACAGTGAATTCAACTCTCAGATAATATGGTCATAAAATACCAGCTTGCTTTCATTCTGTAATTTTAAGCATTTTTCCTGAGCTAGTTCCCACATCTCTAAAACAAGAATGTTTGCTTTTTCTGTTTACTTCATTATATTACTGTAATTATTTAAAAAAGTATCTTAATATTAGTCAATGTTTATTGAGCGACTAAAGCTCACGCTTTGTCCATTAAATAATGCATGTCATCTTACCTCCAAAAGCAAATGAAATAAAGATTGGTGAAAAAAACCCTGTAAACTGTTACACAGTCTACACATGAAGAAGTTTTTGATGGTCTACTTTAAAAGGAAACTATTTGCTGTAAAAAGGGAATCTGACACATATGTTCTTACACTGAGGATGCATCTCTGACAATCACTCCTGTAAGTCCTTGAGTCATGGTTTAGGATGAAGTTTACAGCTTGGTTCTTTCACTGGTTTGTCCTTTCAAACATGACATTGTTTGATGTGTGTGTTGTGAAATTTTTTATGCATAACAAAGTACCATTAACAAGGTAAAAGCCTTAATAGGGAAAAAAAGGAAGAAAGTGAAGAGAAACCAAGGTGTCACCAACACAGAAACACCAGAAATACCAGAAAGCAGGAGCTGGACAAAGGTCTTGGTAAGATCACTTTAGGGGCTTGAGACTCGTGTTTTGGAAGAGGTAGATGAACAGCTAGATTACATCTGATTGCTTTTATGCTATCAGACAGTATTAAAGAAGCTAAGTGTGCCTTGTCCAGTTTCCAAAATGAAGTATGTAAATATCCTTTGCAGGAGCTTGGTAAGATGGATCCTTGAACACTGCTAAAGTGAGGCACGTGAACCAGCATTTTTACATACAACACTCGTGAGTCTTTGTGCTAATGGGCCAGGAAATGTGCACTGAGGAAGAGTTGCTTGGGTTAAACCATACTGGGACATAGACACAGACACAGATGCAAACACTACTGCACACAGAGAAGGCACTGCCACAGTAAACTGCACAAGACCAAGGAATGGATTTTGTGATGTTGAGGGCATGATGTGCAGAAAGAACCTGGAGTGGGTGTGGGATTCTAAGCTTCTTGGTCACCATCTGATGGCGTGCTGAGATCACAGGTGAGATTTCATGGGCAACCTATGTTGAGATACTCCTAACAGGAACAAAAAAAAATCTGCAAATAATGATACAAAAAATGTGATTCGTGGTTAATGATTTTACTATTTAGGAGACTATGTTGGCTGGAAATGGATTAAATGTCCCCTTGGGGCATTTTGTGTGTGCTTGCAGAGAGAAAAAAAGAAGATGAAACGATGAAAAAAAAAGGAAACACAGATTCACAGGTATCAGTATGGAAAACACCAAATCTGTGGGGAAATTTGAGTCTGGCAAGATTAATTTTTGGAAAAATGTAGGTGATGTGTCTGAGACTGGGGTATTTCAACCTGCTCAGATTGTCTCGTGAGATAATATATGAAAACGAATATTATTAACTCCTGTTATCTCAATGGGAACTGCCTAACTTCAGAATTTTCTGTTACCAGACATGCACTAATGGTACAAGCAATTCTAATCATACTTCTCTCTCTCTCTCTCTCTCTCTCTCTCTCTCTTTCCCTTTTTTTGGGTGGGGGTCACACTCAGCGATGGTCAGGGGTTACTCCTGACTCTGCACTCAGGAATTACTCCTGGCAGTGCTTGGGGGACCATATGTGACACCGAGGATTATCTGGGTCTGCCGCACTGCCTGCTGTACTATCGCTCCGGCCCCCATACTTCATTTCATTGCTGAATTGATATCCCAGTGAGATGTGATCAGATGCTTGAAAAGAGAATGAGCTGGCTTTGCCCAAAGAGGAGGGAGAGATAACTAACAAATGGCCTAGATTAGTTATCCCATCTGTAAATTGGTAATCTAAGTTTACATTTTTAGACAAATTTTGAAGGAAGAAAATGAAGTAAAGTAGTCCTAACAATCTGAGCAGTTTTGACATCTAAAATCTAAGACTGGTCTCATGGGAAGGGGGACAGTACTGGCTTCACCGAGGTCACGAGTTGCCCGCCATGAGCGGCTCTCTCGGCCACAGCCATGGCTCCAGAGGCAAAAACCAGAGCCCGACAGCTTGCAGCAGAAAAGTAGATGCACCATGCATTAAACTACGATGCCATGCCTCCCCAGGAGGGAAAGGGTATTGCTCCCTTCCGTGCTCCCCGCCCCCAGCAAGGTGGCTGCTGCCTCAGGGCTTATAGGAAAACCAGGTATGAGCCAGCGGTGACGGGGCAACTGCAGTCTCATGGAAAGGTGGGGCGGTACCGGCTCGTCCTTCATGCTCTACTGAGGTCACGAGTTGCCCCCCACGAGTGGCTCTCTGGCACAGCCATAACACCAGATGCACAGAAACCAGTCTCGTAATTATCTGGCTCTTTGCAGAAATCCAAAATCATTATATGACATTATATGATTCTCATACCAGCTATAGAAAACAAAGAATTTCACAATGCCTTTTCAGCAATTTTGATTGTTGAGGGGGGAATTTCTAAACAATAACGGTGCATCTTTTGTCAAAATAATTATTGTAATCATTGTAGAGAAGAGTTAAGTAGAAATCATCTGGCTCACAGGCATTGGGAGGGGTGGAAGGGGGTATATTGGGGTTCTTGGTGGTGAAAAATGAGTACTGGTGAAGGGAAAGGTGTTTGATCATTGTATGACTGAGACTTAAACCTGAAAGCTTTGTAACTTTTCCCACAGTGATTCAATAAATAAATATAAGAAGAAAAAATAAATAAAATTATGAAAAAAAAAATCTAAGACTGGGGCTCGAGTGATTGTCTTGCATGACACCAACCTGGGTTCGATCCCTGGCATCCCATAGGATCCCCTGAGCACCGCCAGGACTAATTCCTGAGTGCAGAGCCAGGAGTAACCCTTGAGCGTTGATGGATGTGACCCCCCCCTCCAAAAGAAAAATCTAAAGTTGACTCACTCTATCAAAGGTTTCAGATAGTTTCAAGGAACAGGCTTTAGTACTTGAAATGATAATGAACCCTATCTGTTAAGCACCTTTCCTTTTCAGAAACTGCATTCTTAAAAGATTTAGGGCAAGCTACCAATAGCAGTCCCTTGCAATGGAGAGAACTGATTGTTATTTAGCGTCAGTTTCCTATGGTTGCAGAGGTGATAGCCACTGTTCCAGGCAGTGTGGACATCACAGCTCCATGGTCTGAAAAGCAGGATGCAGAACAGGAATGAATAAGTTCTGCTTGAGGACTTACTACCTTCATTATTTTCTGGCGAAGGATGATTTCCTCTACGTCTTCCTTTCATGAGTTCTGTTTTTCTTTATTGAGGATTAGAGTGCTATTATATTGCTAATGAAGCAGAGAAACATTCAAACACAATATATACCTTTGTGAATGTAACTGTGCCTTAAAAAGATAGCACCAGATATTTAAAACTGGATATGTCCTGAAGTGAAAAGAAACTCCAGGTATATGTAAGTAAACTTTTCAATAAGTGGATATGCTTACCCCATAAACAAGTTCTCCTACCATCCCATTCCAGATTTTTGTGTCTGCATCCCTTGCTCCATATTTTCCGTCAGGAACAATGGCAATTTTATACTTGATACCAATATGTTTTGCAATTTCAGATGCCAAATCTACACAGTATCCTTCATATTTGTCATTTCCTTCAAACATTTCGTGATTTTTCTTGTACATAACATATGGGGATTCCTATAATGAGAGAGATAGAACTGTAAAGGAGAGATTATAAAACATTAAAAAAATCTTTTATGTAACTTCTCGATCTCAGAATCTGACTAAAGAATTATCTTTAGTGTTATATACACACTGAGTTTGTGGGGTTAGAAATGAGAAAAAAGAAGCAGAAGGCTATAGAAATATACAAAGACATAAATTGCTTTATCTTTAGTACTTAATAAAATTATTAAAATAATTTTTAACTCAGTGATTGTTACATACCTAGCACTGTGATTGTGATAGAAAAAAATTTTCACTAATAATTGGCCAGAGAAACATAAGCTGTCATCATTGTCAATGAGATGATTACTTCCAAAATATCTTATGAAATTAACTACTTAGGAGTCAGCTTTATGTAATGCACAAGACTGATTTAAGGGTACACATCTCCACATTTGGTGTCTGGGTTTGCCCCCTTTCAAAGAGGAGTTTGGTCATTTCTCTTTATCCTCTACTGCCTGTTTAGATGCCTCGGCTAAAGGACGCAAGCTAAAAGAAGATGCACAAATGTTGAAAACATTTTATTTATTGCATCTAATTTGCTTTCTTTAATTTACCCAATATTTTGGGCTCTGCTCCATAAATTTTTATTGTTTTAAAAATATGCCTCCAGTGAAGGCCGATAATTTCCCCTCACCGACTTCACAGACTTCAAGTGGTATTCCCATTGAGTTTTTGAAGCAAGTAAGAGAAAATAGGATGAGTGATTATTGTGAAAATCTTCATAAAGTGAAATCATTTACTGGCGACTAATAGTGACAATCACACAGTCTTCACTTCACATATGCATGTACACACACACACACACACACACACACACACACACACACACACACCCGCCTTTCCATCCCCCCAAGTAAACCATTTAAAGATCTTGAACTAAAGAGACATGCTTACAAAAAGGATTTGATTTTACAATTGGAACCCAGAGCCACCAACTAAAGAAAGGACTACCCAGGTAATCATGTAACACATGAAAAGTTCTTGATTATTTTTCAGGTTTTCTAGTTATTTTAGTCCAAAAGTCACCAGCATGAGTCATAAGATTATGGAGATCATGTGTTCATACTTTATAAAATTGTACTATTGCATTTATTTGGCAATATTCACAAGATTTTTTTTCTTTTCCTTGGCAAACTTCTAAGGGGAGTTGAACTTGCCTTTGATATTTTGAAAGTGATTTGTTTTGTAAATTATGATAGTCTATACTAATGTGATTTGATTTATTTATTTGTTTTGCTTTCGTTTGGGGGTCACACCTGGCAGTGCTCAGGGGTTACTCCTGGGTCTGCACTCAGGAATTACTCCTGACAGTGCTCAGGGGACCATATGGAATTCCAGTGATTGAACCTGGGTTGGCTGTGTGCAAGGCAAGTGCCCTACCTGCTGTACTATCACTTCAGGCCCATTATTCTAAATGCTTATAAATATAGAAAGTACTTTTGAGAACTTGAAGGTAGTTTTTATGAATTCAATATGAATGGTATAATACAGATTTTCTCATAAACATGACCTACATGTTGAGGATTGGACAATTGCCCAGGGTTCTCCTACATAATATCTTCTTAAATTCTGTCTGAGGCTCACCTGATCAAGTGACCATAAGCATCTCATTTCTTTGAATTTGATGAATAGTCTGGACTAGTGTAAAGAAAGTTCCCTTACTGGTTTACATAAATATTATCAAACAAGTTTTTCAAATAATAAAATTGGTTATGAAAAGTGGCGAGTTGCTAAATCCTAAATTATGCTTTAAGATATTAGTAATGATCAGCTAATCCTTCCATTCTCTTTTTTTCCTAACAAAAGTTAATTAAAATATGATCTCTTTTTCTCCTAACCAAAATTAATTAAAATAAAAACATACAGAAAAAAGTTACAAAGTTGTAAAATTCTTAGCATTCTATTTGAAATGGCAGTGCTGCTACTATTTGTAAGAATAATTATTACCACCAAAATACTAAAAAGTTTGCCAAAGGGGTAGAACTAAAATTCACCTTTGACATTACAGATAAAGATCAGTTAGTTTATCTTTGTAATGTGCCTGTCAAATTGGGATAGCTGGGTTTGGGGTGCAGAGGGAATATAGGAACACTGGCGGAGGAAAGTTGACACTGGTCGTGGGATTGGTGTTGAAATATTATATGCTAAAAATGCAACTATCAACTTTGTAACTCATTGTTCTTTAATAAAAAATAAAATAGAATACACATTATATGCACTCTATATGAATGATCTCACTCCAAAGATATTGCCCAGTATTCTTGTTTAAATAATGTGGAACAGTCCAAAAGATAATTTTGAATACTTGAAAAAAGAGAACAGTTTTCAAGGGTATGGACTATTTTAAATGCTTAGGAATTTTATTCCTCAATTATACATATAATTTTGGGGTCACACCTAGCCATGCACTGGGGTTACTCCTGGCTTGTGCACTCAGGAATCACTTCTGATGGTGCTCAGGGGATGATATGGGATGCTGGAAATCGAACCCGGGTTGGCCACATGCAAAGCAAATGCCCTACCTGCTGTGCTATCGCTCCAGCCTCACATATGGACTATATTAACTAATATGTAGATATTTCTCTAGCTAGCATTATCGTAAAGTTTACTGTATTTTCTACATGATATAGTGGACAATTTGCTTTATAAAAAGTTGCATTATAATTTTTTAATCAAATATTTATTAAGCATACACTGCATGCCAGACAGTTTCTTGAGAAGTGGGGGTTAAAAAATAAATAAAACTATGTCTCATGTTCTTAAGACTATTAAGTACTTTTAAATAAGGATAAAGGAGAAAGAGTGGTGGAGAAGAATAAAACAGAATTGTAAGAAGTAAAAAACTCTTATTTATGGAATGCTTTTTCAGTGTCAGGTGCAAGTTTAAGTCCTTTACTTGTGTATTTCATTTACTTTTCGCACTGACATGTTACGGTATACATTTCCTATCCTTCACATGGAAAATTTAAGGCTCAGGGAGGTTAGTCAAATTGTTCACTTTCACATAACTAGTAGAAGAGCTGAGCTTCTATCTTAACATACTTGGGAAAATTTGAGGCTATTATTGTCTATACCTCCAAATTACAACCACTTATGACTTCATATGATTTAACAAAAGAATGTTCAAGATTAAAAATATATTTTTCTGTCTCTAGAGAATAAAATTTTATATGAAATCTTGGGAGAACAATGTGGATACAATCTTTCCATGTCTCCTATTATCTTGTGCATCTGAAACTCTCCTGGTCTAATAATACTTATTAAATAGGAATATCATTACAAAGTAATATATTGGCATTTCTGATTTAGGTTTTCAGGAGGAATGTAAATATTAGTAAGTTTTCATCTCATCTGAAATGGTTATTTATGATATGTGAGTAAACATATATCTGAGTCAAATATGTTTTTCTATATGTATTACTATAAATATAATTCATTTTATCTAGAGTGCTATTTCATATTCTCAAATTGCATTTTGGACTTTAAGATGCCTGTCAGATTTTTGTTTTCCTGCCATCTCAATCCACGGAAGGCTAAAAAACCTTCAACTCACTGGAGAGGATCAGAGACAAGCTAGGTTCTGCTCAGTCAGTGGCACACACAATTACTGAAATGCAAATGAGTGGTGCCTGAGGTAACAAAGAAATAGATATCACACTCCAGAAGGGAGAGAAAAAGCTGTTTTTCTGGAACAAAAGATCCTTAAATTGCTCCATTTTATTTTGCTTTACTTCAAGTCAAATCTGATAAGCAGCCAATCCTCAATGTCCTGTCAGCATCCTTGTTACACCCACGTGTGACCACAGCTCTTCAAAAATTACATACTTGGGCAGCTTTAACATAAGTTTGGTAGACACTATGGGTGAAGAAAATACAAAATCTTTTAACATAATAAAAAGATTTTTTTAGTCAATCATTAACTGGAATTTCTGGGATACCTCTGATAAATACCATTAGGAAATTCCGGGTATTGAATGATGAATAAAAATGGAATGGCCAGAGAAAGGGAATGTAAATCATCATGCCCGCCTTAATGCTCTAACCTTCTGTCTTTGTTGCTCCTGGCTCTGCACTCAGGAATTACTCCTGCGTGGCTCAGGGGACCATATGGTGTGCCAGGGAATTAAACCTGGGTTGGTCACGTGCAAGGCAAACTCCCTATCCACTGTCTAATCACTTTGGCCCCTGTTTCTACAATATCTGTAATGGATAGTATTCTGTATCTGCCATGCTATTTCAGAAACGAGATCACTGTCTACAGTTAAAACATTTGTGAAATTGCTTCTGTAAATGAAATGAAAATGTTCTCAATTAATAAACATTAATTTTCTCACTACAATGTTTTTGGATTATTTTATGAGCAAAAATAAAACTATTGGAACAAAGATGTCTATAAAGATCTTAAGACTGTATATATGTCACAAATATATTCAAAATGATTAATGTTGAAAACAGTTAAAATAGTAAAATTAGTAGTATCAATAAAACTTAATTGCTATGTGGACATTTGTTTCTTTCCTTAATTGATTAAGAATCTTGTAATTAATCACTAAGAATCTTAATTGACGCTGGTCATTTATCCTATGGGTAAAATCCTTTAAGGTAGAAATTAAAGTGCTATTGAAAGCAGAAAAAAATGTAATGACTGCAAATTTAATGACTGCATAATATTAAGTTTTTTCAAAATTCCTAAGTAAAGTAAGTAAAGGCCCTCCAGTCGTTCATCGATTTGCTCGAACGGGCCCAGTAACGTCTCCATTGGAGACTTTATTGTTACTGTGTCTGGCATATCGAATACGTCACGGGGAGCTTGCCAGGCTCTGCCGTGCGGGCGAGATACTCTCGGTAGCTTGCCGGGCTCTCCGAGAGGGGTGGAGGAATCGAACTCGGGTCGGCCATGTGGGCTGCGTGCAAGGCAAACGCCCTACCGTAAAAACTAAGTTATAAGACCTCCAGACAGAATATTGGGGGAAATGACTATTTAGTATAAAGAAAAAAATTGGAATTTTCTTCATGTATATATAAAATATATGTATCTTGGTATTTTATCATATCTGAACTTGTATCTATATAGTGTGTGTCTAAAAATTCTAAAAAAAATAGAAAACATACCAAAACAATTATGAAAATCAAATTCTGGGAAGTTCGAGTGTGATAAGTAAAACTGCATTTGAGTGTGTAACATAATTCTAAAGCTGTAATGAGTAAGTCTAGATTCATGAAAGTTTTCTAAGGTAAAGGTAAAGGCCCTCCTGTTGATCGTCGATTTGCTCGAGCGGGCCCAGTAACGTCTCCATTGGAGACTTTGTTGTTACTGTGTCTGGCATATCGAATACTCTCGGTAGCTTGCCGGGCTCTCCGAGAGGGGCGGAGGAATCGAACTCGGGTCGACCATGTTGGCCGCTTGTAAGGCGAATGCCCTACCGCTGTGCTATCGCTCCAGCCCAAAGTTTTCTAAGGGACTGATATGTTCAAATAATGGTAAGAAATAGCTTTCTAAGATGAACACCATAAAATAATTATTATTTAACTTCAGTAGGAAGTTAAATGACAATTCAGCACCTGACTGAAATATCACTGCATTATCTTTTCCCTTTCCAGAGTGTTCAGCAAAGAAAGATGAGAGACTATAGAGGAAAGGGATCAAACTTTCTTTGTCCAAGACCTACTACTTCTTTTCAAATCACCTGGCACAGATGTGCTTCCTTACATAGGTTACAGAAATTATTTTGAATGTAAACAATTGAGTCAGTTTGGTCACAAGTTTTGTGAATTTTATAGCTTTAGACAGTAAGATATTTTAAAAAATAAAAAATTATAAGCATCTGAATAAAAAACATTGGACCTTGCAATTTTGCTATCATGATTCTCATACTATAAATTCTACTTGTTATATAGATCTAACTAAACCATATTCAAGGTGAACAAAATCTGTTATTAAAATGATCACATTATAGACATGTAAAACTGTTATAAGAAACAATGAATTTCAACAATATAAAAATTAGAGTCATATTGCAGTCTAGAGTACCTAAAAAGTTTATTTATTGTGCTTCTTTTTTTTCTCTCTCACTAGAATGTAGATTCAATGGAATGTCAGACTTGGGCCTTTATTTTTCCTCTAACATCTCCCCAGCATTTGTAACTGTGCCTAGCACATAGTAGACGCTTAATAAATATTTATGAATGAATAAATGAATTTCTCAATCAATTTTATTTAACAATAGCATATATCATTACAGTGTATCAACATATAAATCACAACAAACAACAGGAAAAGACAAATGAGAGAACAGCATTGTCATGTCATTTTCAATCAAGTGAATAATTTCCAGGGATGCAACGCTCAGCTTTTCTCTATCTTGATGTATGTCTTGCACATATTAACAATGTCTAACCAACTCTCTATGTTGGGAGTTTTCGACTGAATTTGGGGGTTTATTACACTCAAATACCACTATCTCATCCATTACAAGAAAGTTTTCCTCTCTAAAAGTGAATGAGGTGTTCAAGATGCCATAGGGTCCAGGCTATCATTTCCAAGAAAAGTAAACGCACAAATCAACTTCTGAGAAGGGATTTAAGTATGACTCTTTGAATTACTAAATGAGTAACCAGCAGCAAGAGGCATTGCTTATATGAAGATTAAATTTTATACAAAAGACATATACTTGCGCTATTTGATAGCAAAAGTATTGATGATATCACTGTCAAACAGATACTTCACAGAATATTCTTTATGCACACAGGTAACAGCTGAAGTTTTCAGTCATTTAGTTATTTTTCTATAGCATGCTCTCTTAAAACTAACCATGCTTGTAAAATTAATTCAGCATTTTGGATTTTAGAATTATGTCTCTAGTCCCTTTAATTACAAGGGTGGAGAGAGAGTTTCCATATTATAACTATAATGAATTTTAAAACACTTCATTTCACATAAAACAGGCAACAATAAAAAAATTAAGAAATCAACTGGATATATTCAGAAAACAAGCACACAAATTCATATTTACTTTTAGAAAAATCTACCCTTAGAATTAGAAGTAATTTAATTTCACCATTTATATATGATGACCTGATTCCTAGATATGGGAAATAAGATGTCAGAATTACTAAGTGATTCTTTTCCCATATCTCTTTATTTTCTTGAGAAAGATGAAGATAGATTCTTCTTTATTAGGGTATATCAGAAAAGTAACCAAACTTAAAAAAAATAAGCTTTATTTTCTAGTAGTCCAGAGTTGGTCATCCAAGAAGAATCCCACACGAAAAATTAGCTTAAATTTACTACACTGGAGAACAAGACTCGAGCCTTAGTTAGGAATGGCGGAACAGCGTGGAACTCATTTCTTTCTTGATCAATTTCTTAAAATAGGATTCTTCATCAGAGGCTGAAAAGAGGAGGACTGTACTGAAGTATGACTTTCCATTACTGTGTCTTTTTTTTTTAGGAAAAAAATATATATGGCTTTTCAAGTCCCATGCAAATATTACATAGTTAAGTTAGCAGCTATTATTTTCCACTCTTCTACAAAAATTGCTGTTGGTTGGTTTGCATTCTAAAATCAACTTCTGATCAAGACTTGGAAGGTAAACATGAAATTGTTATCTGGTGATTCAACACTTAAAAAGCTAATTGCACCATATGTAAGTTCCTCTCTGGCATTTTCATACTTTCACCTTAATATCAATTTTGGAAATAACTTGACATTACAAAAAACTTAAAACTAAAAGAACATAAGCTAAAAACTAAATTACATAAGATACTTTCATTTTATTTAGAATAAGGGCTTCATAAATAACTAAAAATATGTTCCTCTTACTGAGACATTGAACTTAGTACATATAACTTAAAATTAGAAAGAAAAGGTCACCAATTTTTGATCTCTTTGGATCAGCATGGACCTCAAAGGGCATGTTTGACTTTTGCAGAGAAATATATATATGATATTCTATTATTTAAAAGGTAATTTCATGAGAATCTCTTTGAAAAAGCAGCTTTAAAATTTAGGGTATTTTTTATTTTATGATACGAACAAATGATGTAATCATATTTTTCTTAATTCTTAGAAGACAGTAAATTACATTGCACATTTCTCACAGGTCTGGGAGAAAAATAATCAGTGTAAAAACTCTTGACATTCAAAGTAAACACAGAACATAATTTCTAAAGCATTCATTTATATAAAACATGCTCATTAAAATCTTCCCATCCACATCTTCACAATTATAGACAATGCAAATCATCCGATGATTAAGCTACCTGAAAATTATAATTGTAAACACCATTAAATACATCAATATTTTAAAAGACACAACGACAACAGTATAGGGTTTACTACTGGATATTCTCATATTTTGCATGTGCACTTCTATTCCCGTTGGGAGTCATAGCATTGCTAACATTTCCAACTAGAAAGTGACCGTCTCAATTCTAACAGCTGAGCATTTTCCCAGTAACAACAATGCATAAGAATAATGCTAATAAAAGTACTGATTGTACTAAAATCTTAGGACAGACCTACACAAAGCCCCCATAGACCTTTCGAATATGGGTTTTTGAATGAGCATGGACACACAGTGGCTGTGTAACTTCCACCCTTCCTGCCCAACACATCTGGGGAATTAAAACTGCCTGTGGATGAGATGGTACAGCATGAAACACAGACCCAAACTTACCATGATTGTGGTCACAACCACTGTTCTGTTCTCAATGGCTGCAGTGTCATTGCCCAGAGTGGGGACATCTTGAATCAAGACTAATTTATCCATGTCATTCCAGTAACCGACCTGTAAAGAAGAGAAAATTCTTGAAAACCTATTTTAGAATTTTTTTTCTACTTTTTTTTGAAAAATGAAAGGTATACTTAAATAATAGAACACAACAAATACAAGAATACCAAGAATATTCATAAGTTTTCGTAATTAATGATGAACCACTTTTCTAGATATTTATGAAACTGCCTGGTTTTATTGGCAACTTTACAATTTATAACATAAAATAGCCAACATTGTGAATGAGCAGCTCCAAAAGGAATATGGATGCAGATAGGAAACAATTTCATATTAATTATCTCTTACAGTAAAATGGACTAGCATCTTCTAAAGTTATTTTACCTGGTCTTTTCAATAAAGCTAACGTGGTAAGAGAACAGAAGGTTTAAAAGAGGACATATACAGGATATTTTCAAGAAAAAGAGACTTGCAAAATAAAAGAAGATAGATTTGGTTTAACAGAACCTAGGCATTGGGTAATAAACTTACCATTTTCAAAAATGCTTAATATAATGCAGATTAACAAACCATATTTTCAAACATGAATAAATTGCATTTGCTCATTTAAAAATTAATACATTACTTTTACACTTAGACAAGAAACATTTTCTATAAAGTATGCTCAGTAATTAACTAAGTTCTCTACTATCAGTAGTACAAGTTAATACAAGCTAGTGAACTACAACACAATTCCTTTTTTTTAAATTTTTTTTTCTTTTTTCTTTTTGAGTCACACCCAGCAATGCTCAGGGTTTACACCTGGCTCTGCACTCAAGGATTACTCCTGGTGGTGCTCGGGGGACTATATGGGATGCCAGGAATCGAACCCATGTTGGCGGTGTGCAAGGCAAACGCCCTACCCGCTGTGCTATCGTTCCAGCCCCTACAACACAATTCTTATGTCCTTTAGAATTCTTTGTAGCATGAAGCATTAAGAAGTAGTAAAGGTTACCACTACCAATTTTTTATTTGTTTTTGGGCCACACCCAGCGGTGCTCAGGGCTTTCCCCTAGTTTTGCACTCAGGGATCACTCCTGGCAGGCTCAGGGGGACCATATGGGGTATGGGGAACTGAACTGGGATTAGCCACATGCAAGGCAAAAGAATTCCCAGCTATACTGTCACTCTGGCCACACCATTATTTTATCCTTTAACTCCTTGCTTTATGACAGATAAGCTAATCAAGGCTTTAAAAAGTACATCTTAAAGTCTATGTTCTTAAGGGCTAAAAAATATAGAGGAAGGCCCTATTATGAGCCATATTTTAGAGATGAGTACCCATATTATAAAGTTAAATAAATGATACGAAGTTATACTCTAACAGGACCTCAAAAGGCTCCAGAAATTTGTCTGAATGGCAATAAATCCACCTCCTTTGCTTTTCCCCAAATGGGTACTCACGTAACACCCACCAAAGTCAGATTTTTCTTTGATTTCTGAAATATAGTTGATAAAAGTTTTATCTCCAATAAAATATACCTAATTACTCACTGGTCTATATTAATCTTTTTGTAAAGTGTTTCAGAAGTATCTTTTGCTCCCTCTAACTTTCTAAAATGTTTTGCTTGTATTTATAAGCATATTAAAATAAAGTATTGACAAACCATAAAGAGGAACTGTATCACTATCACTATCCTTCTGTTGTTCATCGATTTGCTTGAGCGGGCACCAATAACATCTCCATTGTGAGACTTGTTACTGTTTTTGGCATATCAAATACACCATGGGGAGCTTGCCAGGTTCTGCTGTGTGGGCAGGATACTCTCAGTAGCTTGCTGTACTCTCAGAGGTACGGAGGAATCGAACCTAGGTCTGCCTTGTGCAAGGCAAACACCCTACCCACTGTGCTATCACTCCAGCCCAAAGAGAAACATATTCATAAATTTTGCATATATAATTTAATGACAGAATCTATGGGAAAATGATTTTTATCAATATGGCTTACTGTATTTATTGGTTTGAACTCTAATTACGAGTATATATCAATTCAGTGATTACTTTCAGTTGTCTAGGTGAATTGATTTGTAGCTGACATTTAATAATTACATGAAAAATTTAATTTAAAACTAGTATGACTTTAACAATCACCCTCTCAATTCCTATATACACTTACAAATACAGCCAAAATGTCATTTGCTTCCTATTAATTTTTCTATTCAGAGAAAAGTTATGTGACTTGCAAAAGTTTTCCAGTTTACCACTCGACTAAAATACAGCCACATTGCAGACCTCAGCAGTCCAAGAAAGGCAAAGTTTCCTTACTAATGAGTTTCCACAGCAGAAAACCACAGATATAATTTTTGCATTATGGAGACACAATGTGGACACATTATAGTGAATCCTCAGAGAGGCCTCAAGACATTGACTCTATGCATTTAAAAACAACTTGTGCATTCAAGGCTATATTTGCGTACCCCCCCACCCCCCACATTCCATCTCCAAGAATAAGTGACTTAGAAGTGTTGGAAAATAAAATATAGTAACAATATTTTACTCAACTATGTCTTTTTGAATTTATATACTGCAATTCTGACGTTAAATGCCAGGATCTGTGACATGGGATCAATTGGTGGTAGATTTTGTCTGAAACACAGTCCTAGTAGGAAGACAGGCAGTACAGGGTGGACAGTGATTCAGGGGTCACTTTCTCAAGAAAGAGTTCTGCTAGGACCTAGAATCTCCTACGAGATGCAGTTCTTCACAACAAACACTGGGCAATATTATAAGAACTCTGCTCCTACCTGCTCTCATTCAGACAGGTAACTAAAGGGTTTTCCTAGAGAAATTGGAGGAAAATAACTTTCCAATGCTAGAGCAAAACTATGAAAACATTTAAATTACTAAACTGGCAAGGGACATCAAAAGATACATCTTCTTTGAATTCTTGAGGGTGCATCCATGCACAAATCTAATCAGAACAGGACGACAGGATCAGCTCTGTAGGGTTGGCTGGCTCTGCCCGTGGAAAGTCAGGAATTGAAGGGCTGCAGAAGCCTCCACATTGGTTCCTGGAAGAGCTGATTTGACCTGACTCCCTGAACTAGCCCCACAGAGAGTCCAGTGGGCCCTGGGACTGGTAATATTTCACAAAACTTGGCAAACTTGAGTTCTACCTCAGCTCCCCCATTCTCTAGCTGAACATCCCTTGGGCAGGCTACTTAGTTTCTCTGACCTTTAATTTTCTCTTTTGTAAAATTAGTTGAATGTACCTGTTTTTTTGGGGGGAGGGGGGGAGGGGAGGTTACATATTAAAATACATGCCAATTTCCTACTATAGTGTTTGGCAGGTCACTTTCTCTCAATAAATATAATTTTTATAATTTAGAATCCCTGAGTCTTTCAAGTCTGGGCTAAAGTATTCTCTCTGGTACCCTGCGGGTTACCAGGAATAAGAAGATTCTTCCTTTCTCAGGAGCTGGGCCTTCAGAAAGGGCTTTGTAGCTTTGTTTAATGAGACCCTCAATCACTTTCCCTCTTGCTGAAATCCAACAAATGGATGGCTCAGCTCTCTGATCTAATTTCAAAGACAGCTCCCTTGCTGGCATGTGTTCAATTGACAAGAACGACTGCTCACTTTTCAGACACATGGCCTATTCTCACCAGCTTCTCACGGTAGCTCATTTTTAAGTCTAATATTCCTGACAGAAAGCCCAAGTTGATCTTTGCCTTGGAAAAATGAAGACAGATAAGTCGACACCCTTTTCACTTCATAATTCTTTCACGATCTTCGATGTGTGTTAACTGAGAATGAAGATGTACTGTTCATCACTCTCCCAACTTACTTAACCTTCTCCTCAAAAAACCCTAATTTTGGTTGCCATTGTGGCTGAAGAGGCCAGGAAGAGATTCAGTTCTATCAACAGCTCATTTGATATGACCACTAGTGACTACCACCTTCCTTTTCCAACTATTCTGTCTTTGTTACATAAGTAATTTTATATTTTAAATTAATATTTTGAAAATATGAAGCTGTCTTTTGCATCTTAGAAAGCTTCTGCATAAATGATGACTTTTCTAAGTCTGGTGCAGGGCAGGAAGGTTTTACTTCTTTCTGCATGCCAGTTCACCAGTGTGCAATATTCTATTCACAATCAGCCAGCCGGGGGGCTGTGTTTACAATGGGCCTCTCTTTTGCTGACTGGGTGTTAGAGTAGAAGTAATTCTTGTTTAGAATTTTATGGGATTCTCTTTAGCTATCATATGGAACTTTTCACCTGTTACTTTACTAGAAAATATGCTCCATTTTAGTAGGGTATGCCTGGGGGAGGTAAGAATGTAGAAAGTTCTGGAATCAGACCTGTCACTGTCTCTGTCACTGTCCTCCCGTTGTTAATCAATTTGCTCGAGTGGGTTCAGTAACATTGTGAGATTTGTTATTGTGTTTGGCATATTAAATACATCATGGGTAGCTTGCCATGCTTTGCCGTGGGGGCGAGATCTCTGAGAGGGGCAGAGGAATCGAACTCGGGTTGACCGGATTGGCCGCATGCAAGGCAAACACCCTGCCCTCTGTGCTATCGCTCCAGCCCTACTTGGATTTAAATATCTGTTTTCTTATTTAAAAGTCTAAAACAAGTAATCGCAAGCTATTGGGCTTTAATGTTTTCTCTGAGAGAGGAACATAGTCATTAACCATTACTGGGTAGTGGTGGGGGGAGAGACTGCACCAGTGAGGCTGGTAGGATAGAACAGGCATTTCATAAATGGTAGGGCCAGAGCAATAGCATAGCAGGTGGGGCATTTGCCTTGCACGCGGCCAACCTGGGTTCAATTCCTCCGCCCCTCTCGGAGAGCCTGACAAGTTATCGAGAGTATTCCACCTGCATGGCAAAGCCTGGCAAGCTACCTGTGATGTATTCTATATGCCAAAAACAGTAACAACAAGTCTCACAATAGAGATGTTACTGGTGCCCACTCGAGCAAACTGATGAACAATGGGAGGACAGTGCTACAGATAACATCACTACATTAAGGTGGGGAAGAATATTGGGAAATTTTTTATAAACAACCACACACGGAGGCAAAAATTTAGACAACTTGTCCATCTCTTTCTCTGAGCATCCCAGCTAATTCTAGAGAAAAACAATGTTAAGAACTATAGGCCTCCTCCATGAAACAGCTCTCACCAGTGACCGTGCTGGAATCTTAGGGTCTCATATGTAAGATGTTTCTGGAAGCTGGGATGACTGAAGATAGAGCAAGTTTCAGCTAAAGACTAATTTTCTTCCAGAAGCCAAGAATTAGTCACCAACAGCTTCCTGAACCTGGACCTTATTCAGTGTTTTTTTTTTTCTCTCCTTCCTCAGCCTCCTAATAGCCTGAATGATCTTATGCTCCATCTGTTCTCGCCTTTGCTCATTTGAATGTTTCTACTTTCTAACTTCAAGAACATTTTGCCTGTTCTAAGTGGCAACTCATTTAAAAGTCGTTTTCTTTGTTCTTTTTCTAATGATTTCATAAATAATAGCTTGGAGGTGAGGATGTCTTTTACCTGCCCTGTGTGCTAAACCTCTTTGGTTGTTTAATTAGCTTCCATTTTGGTAAAGGATATGAAAAGCGTATAGATTAGTTTGTCTCAACTTTGGCACATCACATATTTCAATTGTGGGTGTGTGGGAAGCCCAGGACTAGCTCAGTAGGAGAGCGTCTGCCTTGCAGGTCTTGGTCCAGGAGCCAAATCTCTGGCACTAGCTTACTTGTTCAGTGTGATCCCAGCAGCACTTCTGACTGATCCTCAGCAGCACGACAAAAGTGGGAGATTTCATTTGCTTTTTAAAAAAATTTTTGGTTTTTGGGTCACACTCTGCAGTGCTCAGTGGTTACTCCCAGTTTTGTGCTCAGGGGGACTCTCAGCTCTGTACTTAGAGGGGGTAACTCCTGGGATTCTTGAGGGATCATGTAGTCTTGGGAGCTGGACCAGGCCCTTCTGTGTACAGAGCAAGTGCACCGGCCCCATGAGCTGTCTCTACGGTGTGGGATTTCTTCTGAGCTCTACGCTAAGTGTGAAGCACTAAAAAACAATAATAAAAAAGATCAACTATTTGTCACAATAACTCAAGAAAGTACTGTTTGCAAGGACTCACATCCTAAATATGAAGAAGTTTAGCTATTCTTGACCTAAAAGCCTTGAAACTATCAAATGCAAAGTAAGGAAACAGTTGGAGTGACTCACCTTTCGGGGTCCCGTGCTCTTTAACTCAAATACATCCATTGTGTAGTTGACTCTACGTCCGTAATGATCAAACTGGACATTTCCTGTCAGCCCTTGAATTCGAACCTGTGGATGAAAAAGCAAGCCAGCATGTGTCCATTTGTTGTCTCACTTAGAAAAACCCCAACTTCCTCTGCTATCTTTTGAGCATCTATAAACATGGCTGTGGATCTGGGAGCTCTAAGTAACTGAGCCATGCTGGGATCCTTGTGCCCAAGGTGGAATCTGAAAGGCGGATAACATAGGGATATAGAAGCAATTCAGAACTATTTGGAAGCTGAATATGTCTCCACTGTAACAAACAGAAAACGTCCTCAATATTAAATCACTTTTGTGAGATGGAAATATGATGCATTTCTAATTTTTAATCTTGCCCAAATACTGACATAAGAGATTAAGCAGCCCTGACAATGACTGATATTTCCCTTGTCTGTTAATGATGAAGATGTAAAAACTTTGAAAAATATATGCAGAATTGAGAATACTCAAATATAATCTATTCCCAGTTTTCTTTTCATTCATTTTCCTTACGTTTTGAACCAACCATATTTAATTAAATTTATTATTATTTTTTGACTTGTGCGCCATACTCAGCAGTGCTCAGGACTTACTGCTGGCTCTGCACTTAGGGATCACGCCTGGTGGGGCTCATGGGTGTCAGAGATCGAACCTGGGTCAGCCACATACCAGGCAGATACCTTACTTGCTGCACTATCTATCATTCCAGCCCCAAGTACCCACCATGTTTTAGAACACGTAAGACATAGCATTTAAATATATACATATGTTGGGGCTGGAGTGATAGCACAGCAGGTAAGGAAGGCATTTGCCTTGCACGTGGCCAACCTGGTTTCGATTCCCAGTATCCCATATGGTCCCCTGAGCAATACCAGGAGTGATTCCTGAGTGCAGAGCCAGGAGGAAGCCCTGAACATCGTCGGGTATGACCCCCCAAAAAGCAAAAAAATATATATTATATATATTTTTTATATTTATTTTATGGGGCTGGAGCTATAGCACAGTGGGTAGGGCATTTGCCTTGCACACAGCTGACCAGGTCGACCTGAGTTTGATTCTTCTGCCCTCTTGGAGAGCCTGGCAATCTACCGAGAGTATCAAGCCTGCACGGCAAAGCCTGGCAAGCTACCTGTGACATATTTGATATGCCAAACACAGTAACAAGTCTCACAATGTTATTTGGGCCCACTCAAGCAAATTGATGAACAATGGGAGGACAGTGACAGTGACAGTGATATATTATATATATATTTATATATATATATAACAACATTCCTGTAGCATATAAATAAATATATATATATATATATATATATATATATATATCTGGAGCAATAACACAGTGGGTAGGGCATTTGCCTTGCACATAGCCAACCAGGGTTTGATTCCTTTGCCCCTCTCGGAGAGAGGCAGCCCTGGCAAGCTCCCTGTGGAGTATTCGATATGCCAAAAACAGTAATAACAAGTCTCACAATGGAGACGTCACTGGTGCCCACTCGAGCAAATCGATGAACAACGGGAGGACAGTGCTACAGTGCTATGTATGTCTACGCCCTACCGCTGTGCTATCGCTCCAGCCCCATGTATGTTTAAGTGTATTTAAACTTACATTTGTATATACACATACATATGCTACAGGAATGTTTTGAAAAAGTGTTAGTAGAATAATAAAGGACTAAAATATTACTAGTCCAAAATTCTAAGGCAATTAAAATGTTTACGGAGGCAGTAATTACTAATGCTCATCAAATGTGTCTGATTATTTCCATCTGGGAAAATTTGTACTTCCTGAAGCCGGGTGATAGTGGGCCTTTGTGATCCTCACTGACACAGAAGTTGTAAAGTTCACATGTCATGTCAAAGCATCATGGTAATTGCTACCCAGATGTCAATTTGAACCCCGCATCCCCCTTACAGTTCTCCCCCTTTCTGTAGTCTTGAAGGGGCTCTGTTAGGTGGGGTTCCAGTAAGTACAGTGAGCCTGTTGACTCAGTGTGGTGCCAGAGAGAAATGTGCCTTCACTGTTTTTAGCCACTCGAAAGAGATATGGGGTTTTTACTGTGGTAGCATCATGTAGCTTGTCCTGACTGTATCCTCAGGAGACAGGAACACCTGCATGCTCCCCAGGAGTCTCAGAATGGATCTATGAAAGTGCTGATTGCAGATTACTTATTCTCAGATAAATTTTTTTTTGTTAATGCAAACAAGACCATGAAATAAACAGAAACGTGTGAGTTACCTGTTTGAGTGTTCTCTCCATGTCGATTCCCTGCCCCCATGGGGCCGCAGGGTTTGCCAGACAATCGCCAGCATTTCCTCTCCTTGAAATATCAATTTTCTGCCTCCTAAGATTTCGGAAAGTCTCGGCCATCACAAGGACTCCATCGTAAGTCAGAGCAGATGTATACTAATGAAAAATGAAAGTGACTATAAAAAATGCTAAAATTTCATCATTTACCAGGAATTGTCTGGGACTGTGTCTGAAGGACAATTCAATGACTGATCATCACTTGAGTCCAGCTTCAGAAATTTCATTTATCAGCTGATTACAAAGACCGAATGCCAAATATTAGCATGCTGGAGTAAAAAGGAGAAACACGTTTGAAAAAACAGAAATATAAACATTGAGACATAAAGAAGTTCTGAGGTCAAAAGCACTTCCCTTTGATTCCACTGACCCTGGTTTGAATCACCTGCACCACATACGATGCCCCAGGCACTGTGATAGCCACTGCTGAGTACTTTCAATGCCTTTGGCTTGATGCTAGCACAGCCTAGATTCCTATATTACAGAGGAAACATTTTCTAGCTAGTGGGAAAATGGTACAGTGAGAAAATGCAGATTTTCAATTCCCTCAACCCTAGGTTTTTGTTTTCTAAGCTTAAATTTCCAAATTATATTTCAAATATTTGTTTTAGAGTAAATTGTCAGTGAACTTAGTAAATTAAAAAAAATTTTTTTTGCATCACATCCAATGATGTTCAGGGGTTACTCCTGGCTCTGCACTCAGGAGTTACTCCTGTTGGTGCTTGGGGGAACCATATGAGATGCTGGGGATTGAACCTGGGTCAGTCCGATGGAAGACAAACACTCTACCTGTTGTACTATGGCTCCGGCCCAAGTAAAATTTCTTACAGATGAAGGTGTCTCCTTCCTTATTGTATAAGGAAGACCACTAACTTGGACTTTGAGAAGCATTGCCACAAAATATATAGTTTCTTTATGCAAATTCACACATAAAACAAATTAGTAGCAATTATAAACTACCTAACTTAATGTCTAACAACTCTGCACTTGAATATAGAAATTAAGGGTCCAAAGAATGCACTGATGGCAATAGAATGCCTCTGTCTAGTGCCACACTATGTCTAAAAAAATATTACTATAAGAACTCCATCATAAATGCCCTATCTTAAGTTTTAAAGATGCTAAAATTAAAAACATATACCTTTGGAGGAGTCTCAGATCCCGGATATTCTCTTTGATCTAGTTTCTTCCAGCGATCCATTAATTTGGCTACCATAGGTGTATTAAAATCGACCAACTGGAATCCAGTAACATTGGCTCCACCATGGATAAATCTCTCAAGAGAAATGTCCTTGAATCCCTATGAAAAACAATGAAACAAACGGTTTAGTTCATTATTATACATTTCATATCTTTAATAATAAGTCAGCACAAATTAATATAAAACATAATTTATAACCAATATGTATACCCAATTATACTTCTAAAAAAGCAATAGATGGAAAGTTCAATTGTGTCCATTTATCTGTTAAATTACACCATTAAAAATCGAATGCATAAAAATGTGTGTTTTCAATTCAGTTGAATTAAACAAGTATTTTCTGAATGTCTTTTATGAATTATGGAGGGAGATACAGCAGATGAATCTAACAGCATTAAAAAGTATCTTGTTGAGTTTATAATTACTCTCTGATATACAGTTGTAGAAATGTATGTTATCTGAAGATAATCTATCAGAGTATATGGTAATCAGTATGATGGATAATGCATCTTTTAGGGGATTTTGATTTAATTAACACATGGTCTATTGTAGACAGGGTTGGAAATGTGATCCAGAGAAAGTACAATTTTTGATTATATAAGGGATGTGTGTGTGTGTGTGTGTGTGTGTGTGTGTGTGTGTGTGTGTGTATGACCCAACAATGCTCAGGAGTTACTCCTGCAAGGGAAGCACTCACCAGTTGTACTCTCTCTGAGGCCCTAATTATATAAGTTTTTCACAATCCTGATGGTACTGAGAAATGGTGGTAAAAGATATGGGAGTTAGGTAAATTATTCTTGGGCTCTGGTGTGGTAGAAAAAATAATGACATCCGTTTGGAAGTGAGGAAGATGGAAGGGAATTCTGGCTTCATATACTTTAGTACAGAAGTAGTTATGTGAGTTTAAAATTACAAGTTAAAAATTTTCTATCTTTATCTATCCATTCCAGGGCTGGAGCACAGTGGTAGAACATTTGCCTTGCACTTGGCCGACCCGAATCCGATTCCTCCACCCCTCTCGGAGAGCCTGACAAGCTACCGAGAGCATCTCACTGCACGGAAAAGCCTGGCAAGCTCCCAGTGATGTATTATATGCCAAACACAGTAACAAGTCTCACAATGGAGATGTTACTGGGCCCGCGTGAGCAAATTGATGAACAACAGAAGGATAGTGCTACAGACAGTGCTATCTATCCATTCATCATTCATCTTCTAATTTTTTTATACTTAGCCTCTTTTCCATCACCCATTTCTGCTAAGTATTTAAAGATGCTTTACAAAAATATAAACTCAATACAAAACGTAAAATAATTACAAGAGTGCAATGGACACATTAAGGAAATGAATTAATAAAATCAAAATTATATCCTGAGAAATACCAATCACACATACATGAGAGTTTGTAGGTTCTTATCCTTTTTTTGGGCCCATGTGGCGTCCCGGTAGCTCACCGTGATCGTAAAAGGTAAAAAGGTAAAGGCCCTCCCGTTGATCGTCGATTTGCTCGAGCGGGCCCAGTAACGTCTCCATTGGAGACTTTGTTGTTACTGTGTCTGGCATATCGAATACTCTCGGTAGCTTGCCGGGCTCTCCGAGAGGGGCGGAGGAATCGAACTTGGGTCGGCCATGTTGGCCGCTTGTAAGGCGAACGCCCTACCCACTGTGCTATCGCTCCAGCCCGTGATCGTATAGTGGGTTATTCTTAGTGTTTAATAAAGTTTCTTTATAGAGTGCACTTTATTTCAACTGTGTTGTGAAACTGAGAGTATTTTTTCTATTTTGTTTGGTGGAAGTAAAATTGCTGAACGGATTCTAAAGTTATGGTAATAGATATGTTAGATATAACCAAGGAGAAGATTGGGGAGACTTAGAATTGTTATGGTCTTGGCATTGGCTTTAGAAACATCCATTTTGTCTTGTTTTTAAATGACAAAGGAGGTTCACTTACTAGCCAACATATTCATATTGCTATTTTGCTATCTCAGAAGAAGCAGAGTGATCTACCAGCAAATAAGTATTGCTTTTTATGTATGAGCATATAATAATTTTTTACTACCCATCTGATTTAGTTTTCATAACAAGATTACAAAACATACCCTGTTATGATCCTTTTCTTACAAATTAAGAAGCAGAACTTCCCTGGGTGAAGGAAGACTACTCCAGATCATCTAGTGAACTGAGAGTAAAACCAAGATGACTCTTTTTTTTAAAAATTTTTTCCCTTTTGTGTTTGATGTTTGCATGACTGAGACATAAGCCTGAAAGCTTTGTGGCCTTTCCCACAGTGATTCAATAAATAAAAAAAAAATTTTTTTTCCCTTTATTTTATTTTTTTTTTACAGTTGTAGATTTACAATTCTTTGTGCTTGGGTTTCGATTATACAATGATCAGATACCCATCCCTCCACCAGTGCCCATTTTCCACCACCATGGATAATATCCCCCCACCCCCCATCCCCCCATCCCCCCGTCTCTGTGGCAGGGCAATCCCCTGTGTTCTCTCTCTCCTTTTGGGTGTTGTGGTCTGCAAAAGAGGCATTGAGTGGCAAGCATGTTCAGTCCATAGTCTACTTTCGACATGCATCTCCCCTCCTGGGAGGATCCTCCAAACATCCTTTATTTGGTGCTCCCTTCTCTATCTGAACTGCCCTTTCCTCTAGGATACCCGGCTGGCCTCTAAGTTATGGAGTAATCCTCCTGGTGCTGATCTCAGCTATTCTTGGGTATTAATCTCATACTTTGTTACTTTATATCCCCCAGATGAATGCAATCTTTCTATGTCTATCCCTCTCTTTCTGACTCATTTCGCTTAGCATGATACTTTCCATATTGTACCACTTGTATGTAAATTTCATGACTTCACAAGATGACTCTTGAGTTTGCCTTTTTATTCTTTGTCCTGGCATATTCTCACACAGATACTGTGTTTTAAAATTGGATATTGATCTTAGCATTCCAATGAAAGGAAGGGGGCTAAACTCTGAATTCCATTTCTGCAGCATTCTAGCTTTACCTTTCTTGTTTATTTATTCATTTATTTTCCTTTTTGGGTCACACCCGGAAATGCACAGGGGTTACTCCTGGCTCTGCACTCAGGAATTACTCCTGGCAGTGCTCAGCGGATCATATGGGATGCTGGGAATCGAACCCAGGTCAGCCATGTGCAAGGCAAGTGCCCTATGCGCTGTGCTATCACTTTAGCCCTACCTTACCCTTCTTACATGCAAAAAAAGAGAATAATATGCTAAAGTTATCTGATTAAAATTATACTGGTTAATTCAGTAAATGATAGTATTAATTCAAAAAGTATTCATTTTATGGCTTATGAGCGAAGTAGTCTTACAACTCATCAGTAGCATTCTCATTTCACTGAAAAAAGAAATGACACTAGAAAATAAGTCTATGTTTCTGAAATGGGAAAATAACTTTCTGTCAATCTCTAGCTAGTAGAATGCCATTTATACGTGTTTGCTGCTACCTGAATGTAGGGCCGACCCTCAGACAGGAAAATAATGTTGGTTTTCTAAAAGTCACAATGATTCAAATAGTGCATTAGTTGCTAATTAATGGTATTGTTATTTCTCCTCAGCAGTGGATGAAAAGGTCTGTGAGCTTGTTTTCCCAGCATTACTCTACAGCTGAAAGACAGGAATGCTAAGTTGCAGGCTTCAAAACAACAAATCATCTGATGTAAAGTCTAACTGAGGAGGCCATTTTTCCCAATTCCAGACTGATGCTACACGGATGTCTGACCATACACTCCTCTCGGTCTCTGATGAATGAAAGGTGGGCGGCTGCGTTAAATTTAGCAATGTCTGCTTGAGAACAGGCAATATTTTTCCATTTTTTTATAATCCTATAGAAAACTGATAGGATCTAGATGGTGGGGCAGTTTCCTTGGAAACTGACTTTGGTGGCCATTGAGTCTTTAGATTTTACCCAGAAAATATAGAACTGAAAGTTTTGGGCAGTGTTGCAATAAAGTTGGAATTTCACAGTTAAGAAAATTTTAGTGAGTCCTGGAGCTAAGTAATGGTGTGCCCAGAGTGCCGAGGGAAGCCGTGTGGAGGGAGGGGGCCTTTCCACTTTGCTGACCTGGTTGTGGTGCTGCCTGCACTTCTGGGGAGAGGGTCTGGGTTGGGGGCCAGGGATGCACAATGGGCTTGCAGCCTGACTTCTCTCATTTTCCTTCACAGTCCCTAGGCCCCCTGAGAGAGAGCGGGGAAGAAGAAATGTTAAATAGCGAGGTGCCCTGGCCCAGGACTTCAGATATCCGATGACTATGGATGCAAATGTACATCCCATCATAATGACTAGTAACTCTCATCTTTGAGTTTCATCTAACGTAGGAAACATTTATGCTGTTTTGCATTTTAGGTTCACAAGATAACAATCATATTGAGATAGTTCTGTGGCAGGCAACAGAGTAAATGGAGAAGCCAAATTGGAGCAATCTCCCTGCATCATTGATGGGAATTCTGGGGCTGGGGATACAGCACAGGAGCACCCACTAGGGTCCTGGCACATCAGTCACTAGGTACAGCTCTGGGGGTCCTTAAGAACCACAGGGTGGCCTTTCTGGTCTCTGGCATCACAGAGCCAGAGTAGCAGCACCTCCTCGCCCCCAGGAAGAAGTCACCGCCCAGCTGGCTATAAATCCCTGGGTGAGGCCCTCTTGCCCAGCACCACTGCTTGGAAGGTCTACTCTTTTTTTTTTTAGATTGTTAAGAAATTCAATTGAATTACTCAGTTTTAATAATCATGTGAAAGTACATGATGACATGCTCAATGCAGAAGTCAACAAATAAAGTTTAAAAACTTACTCTCCGAGTTCACGTTCTCACATAGTTTTCACTAAAGACATTATACTTGAAAGGAAAAATGTGCTACATTGCATTTGTCTTGTGAAACTCCTTTGGGAATGAAATTCTTATCCCCGTTCTGACACTAACGAGACACCCAAATATGGGCAATTCACTTTGTGTTTAATTTCCTTATCTACCAAATGAGGCAGAAATGGTGTGTGTGTGTGTGTGTGTGTGTGTGTGTGTGTGTGCATGTTCCAGGGTTATGCTGTAGGAAAGGTACAGACTCAGTATGTCTTTAATTTATATGATGTTCATTCATAGTATGGTTTCTTTATGAAAGATCCAGGTGTTTCCTTGTATGTAAACAGAATATATTAAAAATAAACTAAATGAGAGCAAGCTTTTAGGAATCTGCCTTGCAGAAAGAACAGATGTCAAGAGTTCCTTGTTGCCATTGGTGGCTATATTTAAATCATCTGTCTGCTGGAGAAGGAGTGAAGACAGACCTGAATATAAATCCAGAGACATAAGCCTAGATCTATCTTAAGAGAAATATGTCACTTAAATTGTCACTTTGTTGCTACATAAGTTATTTACTTATTGGTGAATTATTTGAACTTATTCTTTGCAATAAGACCAGACAGAATCAAAGTCCCACATGTGGGACGCACTGAATATTTAGCCACACATGAACAATTTTCCCAAGAGAAATCTGGGAAAGAACTAAATAGTTCCCATATATCAGAGCTGGTAGGAAAGGGTCACACACACACACACACACACACACACACACACACACACACACACATACACACACACGAAGGAACCCACAATCCCAGGTTCTCTAGGAGGAGTTTAGGGGTTAGACCCCCACATCGAGCATCCCTACTTGTACAGCTGCTACCGAGTTGGTGCCCTCTCAGTCCTCCCTTGAGGAGACTGACCACATCCTTCCCATCTGCAGTAGAATACTCCAGCTTTTCTCAGACAAGGGCCTGATGGCCATCCTCCTTCAGGGGAGCTGGCAGGTACCTAAGCTGCCTTCTCCAGCTACACACTCAATTCCAATAATTCTCCAGAGAGAGCCTGTGTGCAAACCTCAATCCCAGACAAGCTCTAGGATGACCAGGTGCTGATAGTTAATTGGGGTTTGTCTTCACGAGCTCCAGAGGACAACAGCAAAACACAAGAATCAATTCTGAATGGGTGCACGAACGAACACTAGCCAGGGGATCCCTCAGGTCTCAGTGCAGAGTGAGCAAAAATAAATAAATAAATAAAAATGCCCATCGACTGGGGCTGGAGCCATAGTACAGTGGGTAGGGTATTTGCCTTGCACGTGGCCTACCCAGGTTCGATCCCTGGCATCCTATATGGTCCCCCAGCACCACCAGGAGCGATTCCTGAGTGCAGAGCCAGGAGTACCCCTGAGCCTCACTGGGTGTGACCCAATTAGCAAAAATAAATAAATAAGTAAAATCCACCAAGATTAAAAAAAAATGCCCATCGACTAGTCTCCCAGGAAGAATTTCAACTGCATACTTAGCAGACTCACTTTAATGAGCCTGCATTTGGGCGTGGGCATTGTCCTCTCCAGAGCCCACAGGAACTGCTGGGGTTGAATTCAGCCTTTATCAGCACGCTCCAGGTATGGAACGTCTCTCTGGCTGAGAGTTAGACTCCTGGTACTTCAGCTTCTGCAGCTGTCACCCAAAGGACATGGCTCAGACCACATGGATCTTATAGCCAGTGGGTTTCATGTTCTTGAGTCCCTGTGGGAAGACAGAGTAGTATAAAAAATATCCACTGGGTGCAGGAGCTCTTCCCAAGGCTAGGCTCCTGGTTCAGTAGAAAAGGAACAGGTAAAAACACTCATTTTTTGATTAGTTTTTGGGAAGTTTGAAAGGGATGCTGTAAAGAAATTTCCAAGAGAAATAATGACATCAACAACGCCTACATTAAGTAAAAAGAAAAAAAAAAGAGAAAGACTTTACATAAATAATCTAATTTTACATTTGGAGGACCTAAAAGAAGAAGGAAAATTCTCCCCACATTTCATAGGAGGAAAGCAATGATAGACAGTGGAAAATAAATGAAATTTAACCTACTTGCTTCTGATACAACCTACAAAGAGACAGACAGCAGCAGATCCCACAGATAAAGGACTCAGTCTCAACGCCACCCTCAATCCCCGTACAGATGCCAGTGGCAAGCTTCTGGCCCACTGAATGGTTGCCAGGACCCCCTTCTTCAGGCTCTACTAAGTTGTTAAATGTGTCAGAAAGAACCCAGAAAACTCATTCACTTACTTGATGACTTATTTACGACCAAAGAAAAACTCAGTAATATCCAAATGGAAGAGGTTCATAGAGAAAGGTGGGAAAGGGTGTGGAGTATCTGGGTCCACATGTCCACTAGCCTGAAGTCTCCCTAAGCCCCCCTTTTTTTCTGGGTTTTTAAGGAGGCTCCTTTAACATAAGCATGCTAGATCAACTCTCAGGGAATTCTAAGGCTCTCAAAAAGCTGTCAACCATAAGCAAAGGGCGAAGGGCAAATATATACGAGAAACATATTTTGGTTATCTGAATAACCAAATGTATACTTCCTATGAATTCCAATACTGTGCTCTCTCTCAAAAAGACTTGCATAATAATATTGTTTTTCTTAAAATTGATGAATATGGGTTTGTTTAAACCACTGTTATAATATATAATATCCCTGAGTAAATGGCTATGCCAGGTGATGGTTGGGAAAACGTCCCATGCAGTGCTTGGGGGTCATTTCAGGCTGTGCTGGGGTGGTGGTGCTGGGGATCAAACCCAGGGTACCTGCATGTAAAGCATGACCTTCAGCTCTCTGAAGCACCTCCCCACTCCAATATTGACAATCTTGATTCATACAGTAGCACATTTACCATTTACTCAGAAAAAGGCCATTATTTAATTTGATAAGCGATACAGCATAGTAAACCAAACATTGTATTTATTTTAAAGGTCACTTTGGTGGATATAAGGTTAATTGACATGAAAAATATTAAATTCTACACTAGAAATGCAATTATCAGTTTACTAGGAACATTTTTCCATGTGTCATAAAAAGTTTGGTATTACAGTATAATCATTCACTGAAGCACTATTTTAAAGCAGTTAAGATAATTTTGAATATTTGATCAATTAAGAAAAGTAGAAAGGAGTTCTTACCAAATTTGCTATGATATAATGGTAGCCTTTAACATGTTTTCCAACACTTACAATCTGTAAAGAAAATCAGAGAAAAATCAATTTTAATCCAGTGAATATTTTTAAAAAATAAACTTTAAAAATTCCTTATAAAATTAACTTCTTATACAAGAGGAAATTCATAAGCCACATTAAAATTAATGTAAAATGCAAAAATGATCACTTTTATTTAATTACACTACATAAAATAGCTTTTGTTTTAGGATACTTTAGTTAGAAAATTAATAGCACTGTAGCACTGTCCTCCCATTGTTCATTGATTTGCTCAAGCGGGCCTAGTAATGTGTTCATTGTGAGACTTGTTGTTACTGTGTTTGGCATATCGAATACATCACAGGTAGCTTGCCAGGCATTGCTGTGTGGGTGAGATACTCTCGGTAGCTTGCCAGGTTCTCCGAGAGGGGTGGAGAAATCGAATCCAGGTCAGCTGGGTGGGCCACGTGCAAGGCAAATGCCCTACCCACTACTACCTACTTTCATTGACTAAGTTTTCAACTATGGCACTAAAATATATTGCATTAAATTTTATTTTGTACTTGGATCTTATTGTGGTAATTATCATGTAATCTCGGTCATAAATAGAACTTAAAAAATTCTGTGCTTATATATTTTAGTTTCCATGAAATAGGCAAAACTTACAAATGTAAAATTTAGTAAGAGTGAAGAGAATCAAGAAATTTAAACGGAAAAATATGAATAGGCCTATAAAAATAGAAAGTATTTTATCCTAAGAAAGGGAATATTAATTTTATAACAGAAAGTAGTATATTATAGGTGTTGCTTAAGTGTCTACATTGATAAGTTAAAGATTGCAATAAAAATCTCTTGACTGGAAAGAAAAAGACCAGGCATAGAACAACCAATGTAAATGAGACATTAATTTATTATTGAATATGTATAAAATCCCTTAGCAAGCTAGGAGTAAACATACCTTTCTTAACCTAGTAGTGGAAAACCATATACACCATGATTATGCCATCTTCAATGCCAGATGTTGGGAAATTTGTCCTGTCCTTTAAAGAACCTTTTTTTACTTATGCAATGGAAAACCATGCAGCTCTAAGAAAGAACAAAACCAGACAATTTACAGCAGCATGGATGGAACTAGAGGGTACCATGCTGAGCGAAGTCAGTCACAATGAAAGGGACAGATACAGAATGAGCTCTGCATTGATAATTCTTTTTTTGGTGGGGAGGTCACACCCGGCAACGCACAGGGGTTACTCCTGGCTCATACACTCAGGAATCACTCCTGGTGGTGCTCAGGGGACCATATGGGATACTGGGAATCAAACTCAGGTTGACCGCGTGCAAGGCAAATGCCCTACCCGCCGTGCTATCACTCTAGTCCCTGCATTGATAATTCTTTAACTATTGTTTATTCATCAAATTTATCTTCCTGTTCTTCAGAGACTCTGATTCAAGTCTCATATTTTATTGTACTTTCCTGACTAGCATCTCTGAGTTTGTTAAACATCCTCATCATGGTGTCACTAAAGTCATTGTCAGATGATTTACTGAATTGGCTGGTGTTCATGTCTCAGGTGATATTGTTTCATTCACTGAATCTTGTGGGTTTCTACACATTTTCATTAATTTTCTAGTGTTCTTGCTATGTGGGGGTGAGTTTTTGTAGTTAGACCATTTGAGTGAGACTCCTCAGAATATGCTGAGGTATTAGGCTGGGGCTTGCTCTCTTTCTTCTCTACTTTTCTTCAGCAGATGACAGGTAGTATAGCTGTTAGCAGCAGGTGATTTGCTGAGTAGATCTATTTCATGGCCACATATGTGGCTGCATGCTTCAGGAACTGTGGCATGGGCCTATAACACAATTTTTTAAAAAGCAACACTTCATCTCTGTGTTAGAAATCAAAACTATTTTCTGTAAAATCAGAAAGACCTTTAATGGCAGACCGTCTATGTCAATCATTGTAACTGCATTATTTGGAGTTGTGTGTCTGACTAGTGATGCTTGGAAGAACATGGTTTGGGGGAACCCCCACCCTGGCTGGAGAGAAATGAATGCACCACACACACTGATTCCATGGAGTTTCTGATGCCGAGCACCCAACACCTGCAACTGTGTTTGGTCTTGGCACAAACCTTAACCCCTCTGTGAGGAGATTTTTTGGGAGAAAAAATTCAACTTAATTTCTGTAGAAAAGAGTCCTGTACATAGTTTTTATGTTTCTGATTTTAAATGTTTGTGTAAAATGGTCATGGTTTTGTTTGTACACGTTTTCATCATTTCAGCCAAAGTGAAAATCAACTCATGTAAAAGTAAAACAAAACAACACAGGGGTTGAAGATAGTATAGGGTGCTAAGGTCTTGCATATGGTTAGCCCAAGTTACACCCACAGAACCACATGGTCCCACGTGGTTGGTCTATAAGTTATAATTGCAAGAGCTTTATTAAGTCTCTATTCAAGCATTGCTAGGGTTGGCCCTGGAAGCCCTCAGCACAGTCCAGTGACTTGACTTTGGATGAATCTCTGGATGCAGACCAAACTTTGTGGTTCTAATGTGCTGATCTTTCTCTTCTATAAAGAGGGAAAACAAGTTTAAGGAGAAAGATGTGTTATAAAATAGTAATTTTCACAAGTATATTTGGCAAGGTTATTGGGGAAAGCAAGCCTTTTGTGAGGGGTGAGGAATTGGTACAATAATGAAGAATGGCTTTTCCCAAATGGGAAAATGTGGCAATAGGGAATAGGACATCTCCATCTTAAAAAAAAAAACATTAAAACAAAGGATTCAGTTAGATAAAGAATAATAGTCACGTCTGTTTAGGGTTTTCAAGAATGGAAGGCTATTTAAGTTATGCTGATCATACACTTAAATTTTTTTCTTTTAAAAAAACAGTGCTTAAGGCTTACTGCTGACTCTGTGCTAAGAGATTGCTCCTGGTGGTGCTCAGGGACCATATATGGTGCCAGGGATCAAATCCGAGTCAGCCCCATGCAACACAAGCACCTTAACTGCTGTACTATCTCTGTGATCCCTGATCATATGCATTCAATGGACTTCATTTTACAAGAATAAATGCTTAGGAAAAATGGTCAGTTGATTAAATTGCTTTTTTCTCATGTGTGTTTTAGGAAACAAACATTATGCAGGAATACCCTTAATCCTGGTGATGGTCTAGATGTCATCAACAGCTTTATTAAGTCTTGTACAATTAGTATTAATGAATGTGACTTCTAAATATTTGCCCATTTATTTAGTTAGTAAATGTATTCTACATTTGAGTTCAAGGTTAGATAATTTTTTTTGAGATTTTTTTAATGTTTTTTATTTTTATTAGTGAAACACCATGAAGTACAGTTGTAGATTTACAATTTTTTGTGCTTGGGTTTCAATTATACAATGATCAAATACCCATCCCACCATCAGTGCCCATTTTCCACCATCATGGATAATATCCCTCCCCCCTCACCCCCCCCATCCCACCCTGCCTTTGTGGCAGGGCATTCCCTTCTGTTCTCTCTCTCTCTCCCCCTGGGTGCTGTGGTCTGCAAAAGAGGCATTGAGTGGCAAACATGTTCAGTCCATAGTCTACTTTCAACATGCAAGGGTTAGATAATTTTTAAATTTGAGAATCCGGCAAACTACTGAGAGTAATATGCCAAACACAGTAACAACAAGTCTCAAAAAAAATGGAGACATTACTGGGCCCGCTCGAGCAAATCGATGAACAACGGGAAGACAGTGTTTGTTTGTATTAAATAATTTTTTAAACTTCACAGATGTTTAAGATTAGAATATTCATCTCCACTGACTTGGAGATGAGCAAGTCAGTGCTTGTGCTACTTGTTATAACAGCGTTTAGTATCTCAAGGGGATAAGACTGAAACAGAAATAGCAAAAATAAAGAATAGAGAAAAGGTTAAAAAAAGAATAGAGAAAAGGTAATACTTGGGTTTTAAGAAGAAGTGGTTATTATTTTTAGGACAATCAGGAAGTATTCAAGAAGGAATAGATGCTAAACAAATATTGGTCAAATTAATTAAGTTAATGAAGATCTAAATGTCACAAACACTAGTAGGCTAAGACCAGTTTGAAGCTTTCAAATGAGTAGTTCTGCCTTCAATCTACAATTCAACTTTATGCTAATTCTTCAGGCACCAATGGTTTGTAAAGCACTCAGTGTCTTTAGAGATAAGGGATGATTTACATGAACCTCAAACTATTATTTAGAAACTGTAATCATTATATCATATTGAGTATTGTATTGATCTAAAGACCTGAAGTGGCACCCTTGAGTATGAATGATTTTGGTTTCCCTTTTGATCTAATTTTAAAAGTCAGCCAGAAATCCCTCTCTCAGCTGTCATATTCCAGAGACTTTACTGTCGGGGGCAAAGAGAGTGACGTTTTGGGGCAGTATTAGGCACATGATACCAGCCATTTCCACTAAATCTTTTTTTTCTTTCCATATGGGAATCTCTGACTCCCAAATGTCCCCTGAATGATTTTTAAGAGTCTAAAAATGTTTATTGCAAATAAAAAAAACTGTAGTCTGTTTAGTTTACTTACATTTTAGCAAAAGAAAAATAGAAGACAAGGAGCTTTAGCAAACAAGCTGCAGACTTAAACTACAACCTCCTCAGATGAGATATAAAACTGGGAGTGTGAAGAGTGGTGGGAGAGGGGAGAATGGAGACTCCAGACAGGAATGGAATGGGGTTCAAGAGAAGAGAGAGTATGTGAACACGTGGCAAATATTTTAAAAGAAGTATACACATGTGTGTGCACATTATGTTTTTTTCTTCTACACTTGAAGACCTCAGAAATTACCAAACTTTCTAATGGGATATATATTATGTGAAGTAAAGTGAAGTAAAGGCCCTCCTGTTGATCATCGATTTGCTCGAGCGGGCCCAGTAACGTCTCCATTGGAGACTTGTTGTTACTGTGTCTGGCATATCGAATACTCTCGGTAGCTTGCCGGGCTCTCCGAGAGGGGCAGAGGAATCGAACTCGGGTCGGCCATGTTGGCTGCGTGCAAGGCAGC